GAGCTCGTGGTTGCTGTGAACTCGTTTTATTAGTGACGTTTCTTATTTTACATCATTTTCACACAGAATTTGGCCATGACATTGGATATGATACCAGTACAATGCCAGTTAAAGGGTTACCAGGTATCAATGAACGAAATTGGTTGCAAAAAGAGATGCTCCATCAAATACCTGCAAGGTGATTGCTTTGGTAGCTAGCAGATTGCTACAATTGCCTGTAGTTTTGTCACACTTAGACACTTGATAACTACTAATACTATAACTTGAGAGAGAAAGTATGACACAAGCTGGTGATGGAGAAGATTCACCTTCAAAGTAAAAGTTTTTCCTTACAGTGGCATGTTTCAAAAGGCACATGGCCAAAAATAGCCAACAAGCTACTGCCATGTGGTTACAAGTCACATGTCTGCAAAACCTCATTAAAAATACAAGGACTGTTTGCACATGTTGAAATAATTTGACTGCAAGAGAAATAATTTTAGGATGAGACACAGTGGACAAGAAGTGGACATAGTAGTCATGTAAATGTTTGATTGGGAGGGGGGTGGCTTGTCTTTGTTCTACACATTCTCTTGTGTTTTCAGTCTTGTAAAAAAAACTGTAAATATTGGGTCACCGGTATAGTGAATGCTCAGGAATCTACAAATGAATCTAACTTTTCTTTAGCTAAATTCAACTGGAAACCCTAAATTAGCCCATAGCCTGCAAAATGTAATTAGAAATGACTACATTTAATTACTAACTGTCTTAGTAAAAAACTGTCTTTTGTGTAGGTTAGCTGTCTTTAATTAGCAGGAGGTCAAACCTCACGCCACAACACTTACTCAGCCAAAAAGTCCTGACAGTATACCCACTCACACTCTCACTCCTTCGGTGCCTCTGTCATGCTGTATATGGTGTAAAAACAAATTCCCTCAGTGTAATCACAAGCTGAGCTAACAGTTTTCAATAGTTTCTTCTTCACCGTCATCCCGTACAGCAAAACCTCTGCATTTCTGACAGCCCTGGCTACCGCTCAGCATCAGTTATTGTATTTTGTCTTGGCCTGTCCGCCTCTAATCAGAAGGGAGTTTAAGAAAATACAGCTATGGTAGCGAGTAGGGGCACAGGGCTTCTGGTGGGTTGGAAATTGGGGTTGATGATGAGAGATGTGGCATGCAGGGAAGGATTTTCATTCCAATGCGATGTCCAAATGTGCCGGTGGTTTTCAGGCGAGGCTTTGGACAAGCAAAACAGGGAAGGCACATATGGATGGCACTCCAAAAATAACTGCAGAGGGTGGTGTAACAATAAGCACCATGTCAAATGTGTGTAGGCAGTGAGAAAGCCTGTTTGAACAAAGTAGTGACATTAAATCAGTCGGGAGAATTACAGTTTGTGAGAACCAACTGTTGTAAGGAAAGTGAACAAACAGTCCCGTATGGGAGGATTTAAAGTGGTGAAATGAGTCCACTTACTCAAGCTCACATGTAATATACCTGTAACTTGCACCCATCTCACCGAATTCCAGTTCCAACACCAGCCTCAAGTATTTATACCTGAAATCTTGGCTTTTTCATTCTCATAGTGTCATTTTATTCTAGTTCTGCTCTGTTGTTCTTACGCTCCAGTTGTGTGACTCGTGTTCGATCCTGTTTTCTGCCTGCCTCCCTCTCTGCATTTCAACCAACTGGTAATCCTGCCTGCGCACCTGCCAATATGCCAGCCACCTCAGCCTACCTGTAATCGTTAGTTTGCACTTGAACAACCTACTAAACAGATCCTGCCTTTCTAAAATTGCTGCAGAATAATTTGAAATCCATCTCACACCTTGCTGATGAAGAATACACAACTTGAGGACTTACATGGGTTTAAACTTCCTGTTTTCCCATTATTAAAAAATGTAGTATGCCTCTGAAACTCATCACATCTCAAAGAGCTGTGCCCAGACACTGGAAACAAACACACTGCCTTATGTGTTCATCATCTCTTATGATTATATCTCCCTGCACCCACATACAAGCCCACCACACCATAACCCACCCTGAGCGGGAATCGATTGAGAGAAATGTAATGATGTCACTCCCATTTCTCCTTCTTTCTCCTTGTCAGTCCTTCCCGAAGAAAAACAGATGAGATGAAATCATCTTTGCTGATGTTATTGTCTCTGCCTTCATCAGTGAAATACATCTCAACTCAAACACATCAGCATCAAAGTGTCTGTTTTTCTTCTTGGAGTAATTACCTGCCTTACTTTTATCTTTCTTTCTTTTCTTTCTTTTTTTTTATTAATGCTCTGATGAAAATACTGGTTGTGATGATGATGATAACGATGTGAAGATGAAATGTGGGTTAATGGTACACATGTATTGTTGTCATTTAGTGACATCTGCTGGTTATTCCTGATGGTGCTAGCAATTTTCTGACATGACCTTTTTGTGGTCAATAATACTTTCTGTCCAGTTTCCTTTATATGCTAATTCTTCTTATTTTTTTTATCTTTTAAACTATGAGTTAGTGATGACTTTTTTCATTACCCATGCACGGGTTTAACTCAAAACAGACATACTCTGTTGCTTGAACTTTGTTGTTTTTCAGTCTCTGACTCAATCATGTTCATGGGTTCATGATTACATTGAAAGCTCACGTTCATTACCAGTATTGATTTTTTTTCTAAGATAAAATAAATGAATGTAAATAAATTGATTGGGACCAACCCTCATATTGATACAGGTTGCGAATGTATTTTGCATATTTTTAAGGTTTTATGTACAGTTTTTAGTTCATTTCCTGCAATAGTTTCAAATTCTTTTGAATGCTGTGTTTATTTGTGTATCTTGCCATATTTTTTTTTCATTCACTTTTCATTAGTCTGGAGGAGTCCAGGTTTGAACCTACATTGTCCATTTGTTAACTCCTTGTGCTTCATTGCTTACAAACACATGAAAAACATTTCAAAATGAACTCAATTGACTGATGAATCAAAAGTATCATGTGATATGGAAACTTTTAAAAATAAATTTCAGCCTGGCATCACAGCCACTGCATAGCTAAGCTAGTTATCTCTCTGTTTGTCTTGGAAACCGAGCTGTAACTTTGAATCGTATACATTTTTATTCATGTAGTGTTACTGCCTTCGTGTTCCATGGTTTTTATGTTCGCTTCAGTAGATCAGTAGATGACTAAGAGATGCTCGCTGGTGTGATGAAAAACTAATTCATTATACAACTCGTTACATTGCTTTCATGTTACTCTGTAAAATGACCTGTTTTATCTCATAATTGCCATTTAACAATATAAACATATAGGCTATAGTCCTATACACCAACACAAATCGCTATGCTAATGAGGACACATATGATCTTACTATTAGTACAACACAAAGTCAACAGCACAAACAAGCAAACTGATCGCCATGGTGATTCTAATTAAGAAACACAAATAGGTAGAAACAAAGGCTGCAGCCTGACTACTCATCAGTTTATTACCTGTTGAAGTTCAGGGTCTGGATACTGGGCTGGGGTCAGGATTCATTCAGCTTTAACGTCACTCAGAGTTCTTGGCTGGTTTAGTGTTAGCATGCCGACTGTGCAGGTAGCAGCATAATGCAGCTGTATCTGTCCGGGATGCACACTCCACTTTACTATCATGCTCTCATCCTTTGTGCAATAAAAATAAAAGTAATGTCCATATCCTGTGTCACTGTTTTCCTCCTCCAACATACCAACCAAAATCAGCTGTGTGTAGGAGTGCAAGAACCGATAAGTGGAATCAACTGGCACAGACCAACAATTCCAAGGAACTGGACAAGTGGGAACCGACTCTACAAGAACTGGGTTTCAATTCCCATCTCTAGGTGGAAGAGTGGAACTTTAGTCCCTTATAACCCAGTTGCTAGTCTGTATCTTTTATTGTGTCATCATCAGCACTGATAAATGAAACAACAAAAGTTCACACAACTTTTCATCATCTCCTGTTTTTGATGGAATGAGTATCAGTATAACAGGTCTTGTAACTCAGCGGATTTTCATTTTGCTTGTAACCATTATAGTGCCAGTTATCAGTCTACAAAGCCTATCTCCTTCATTTGAAGAACCAGAGAGTCCTATTTAACTAATACCAGAATGCTGTCATACACTCAGAAGAAAACAGCTGGCGATATCATAAAATCAATCAGAGGAGTTGAATTTATCAATCATTTTTATGTGTGTGTGATGCTGTACCTTTGGCTGCATATCTGACAGGATTTCATTTAGACGCTGCTCTGCTCCTCTACTGCTCTGGTAGTGAATCATGTCAGCTTACAGCTCAGTATCTCACGTTAATAGAAATCTTCTTTCTGCTGCTTCAGCTTTATTTGTCTGCAGTGGAAACATCGCTGCCAAGGCAGCTAAAGTGGCACTTGTAAAGAACACATCCCTTTCTGAAAGAAACTTGGCATACTTCTAAAGAGCACTGGATCTAAACCAGAGGAAGCAATTTGGACAGTCTGAAAGTGCCTGATAAGGTGATGGAGGCCCGTTATATGCTGCTGGAGCTTTTTGGAAAGCAATAAAAATAAATTTTTTAAAAAGTAAAAGCAATCTTTCTTGCTCAAAAAAATATAATAAAAATAAGAATTCCTTATATGTTACATATAATAAATGATACTTTGCAGAGGTATGCAGAGATATAACTCGTTTTTTTCTGTTTATGCCTGTTTCATGTTTGACATCTTTGTAATCTTTTTACAGCGTGTGATTGTTTTACATTGAGATTTGTCGGTTATGCCTTTTTTGTGTCTATTTGGGGTCATTTCAGATTTGCAGTCTTTTTAGGGTTTTTTTAATTGACCTTTCAACAAGAGAGACCCCTGGATTAGCTCCTGCTGTCTGTCGCATCGGGCAGTTGCACATTTTAGATGTATTACTATTTATTTATTTTTATTTTATTTATTTCGCATCTGACACTACAAAAAGAAAAATGCGCTCGCGGTTGGTGTTGCCATGGTTACGATCCCAAACTCATTGCAGTGGTGCCCAACAGCCACCAGGGGGCACAGTTTCACAAGATTTCAGGCAGGAACCAGTCAAAGCATCACTCAGGTAGTAAAGGGGCAGATTCGAGGACCAGATACGAGCGTCTGTTGGGGCTGCGCAGCTCACACCCCTTGGGTTCTTCAGCGGCTGTCCGCTCGGTTTAACTCGTCTCTTTTTGGAAATCATGGTGGCTAAAACCAAAAAGCAAACCGGGAAGAGTCCGGCGACCCAGACTGACCGCGACAGGAGCCCGCTTGTTTCGCCACCTGGCAAAAGTAACGTTAGGCGGCCAGGCAGGGAGGGCAAGGTTTTCAACAGCACGCATTCAAACGGGCTTTCGGGCATCAGTCACAAGCTGGGGCTAACTCCGTCTGCAGCCGCCAAGCTGGGAATCACTCTTCTCCTCGGTAAGTTCAGAACCACTAGCTCGTTAGCTTCTTGCAGAACCACAAGCTAACGAGTGCTAACACTAGCAGCATTAGCAGCTCCGCTAAATTAAGTTATCTCCGCTGCCGATCACTTGGCTAACGTTAGCTCACCCTAACGGTACCTCTCTAGCGGTAGTTACCTGCTGTTGCTGTCCGTTAAAATCAAATGAAAGTGTCCCGTATTTCTTCCGCCTATTTGCCACATCAGCTCCACACGTGTTAACAGGTTTTCTGGCAAACTTCAAGCTTGGCGTTCTCCTCTAAATGCACAATAGTTATAACCCCCGTATCACTCAAAGTCATCTCTCCTGTAGTCTAACCAGCGGGTTGTGGCTTTGCAAATCTAGCCTCCTTTCTCAGTGATGAAGTAGCTTTTTTTTTCTGCAGTAGTTAAAGTTAATTCTTTCTGTTCACAGCTGCTCTGACTGGATATCTGCACTGGTAAGCTGCGCTTTTATCGGCTTTACCAAGTTATCGTTCACTAACTACTGTTGCGTTTACTTGCTCTTACTTCACACATATTTCTCCCCCTTCAATTAGGTATCATCTCACACAGCTCTTTGAGAATGACAGGCACTTTTCACACCTGTCTAACCTGGAGAAGGAAATGGCTTTTCGAACAGAAATGGTAATTTGTTTTTCTTTTTTGTAAGGCAACAGCAGGATGCACAAATCTTTGATAAATATTGTCATCATGAATCTTGAAGGGCACAGTTTTTGTATGGCCGTTATTTACCATAGTCTACCTTTATTTTGGCATAAGACAGTAAAAAGTGTGAAATCCTTTGCTACAAAACAAGATGATCAAGGTCTAAATCATATTAATATTTAGCATGGATTCCCTTTACCATCAAAATAGCAGCAATTGTTCCTGACGTTTGCTCATTTAACGGGGGGGCTGTTTGAGCAGATTGGAAAACTATCTTGGGTCTTTCAATAACCCCAAATTCAATCCCATGATGTTAATGTATTTGGCTATATTTCAGCCATGCACTACACCTGTTGCAGAGCAGTTTATTGTCCTTGTAGCTGAAGATACACGTAAATGATGTCCAAACAAAAACAGACCTCATCAGACCTACACGAAGAGGGCTTGGTGGTTCTGCTGTACTTAGATAGATATTGTGGTGGCTTTCTCTTTTTCTTTTTTCTTTTTCTTTTTTTTAGCTGACTTGTCTGATTTGATTACATGGTCACTGAAAATCAATAAAAAGCCATTGTGAGTGATTATTTTGATATATTTGTTAACTTTGTTTTGGTTGAGATTTCGACATGTGCTGAGGAGGGATGGTGGATATACTGGAGAAAGGATGTTAAATATGGAGCTGCCAGGAAGGAGGAAAGGAAGAATGGCACAGAGATAATTCATGGATGTATCAAAGGAGGGAATGTAGAGGGTTGGTTGGAGGATGATAAGGATAGGGTGAACCCTAAAGGAAGTAACTGAAACAGGATGATGATTTTGTGGTCTCCTCTTCCAAGAGGACAGTGCATCCATCAGGCATGAGGGCTCCATGATTTGTGTTCAGCTATGAGAGGATGTGAATTATAGATTTGTGTTAATAACCGATACCAGCCCATCTGAACATATGTGGTGGATTTTACACCCACGTGTTAGAAAGTGGTCTCCACCATCTTCATTAAAAAAAACCTTCACGTTTGAGCTGTTGTGGTAGGATGTGGGCCAACAACTTTCTCAGAGACGTTATGCCTCTAATTCTTTCTAACTATGTCATGATATATTTTATTTTGTCATGCTGCCAAATGACATTGAGACAGATTAGTTGCCTTGATGGTATTGAATTAAAATAGGATTTCCAACATAAGAAGTGCATGCGTCATTTGTAAGGGAATGGTTTTTCTTTTTTTGGGGGGGGGGTTAGTAGTTGTGCTTAAAATTTAAATGTGTTGAAGTTAGTCACACGAATCAGGCAGAGACAACTGTTTGGCTTTCACAACATGCACTTTTTTTAACATTTTCATCACATTTTATAGACCTCATCATTGCTGAAGTCATTAAAACCTAATGAGTAGATTGTTATTGGCAATAAATATTTGCTGCTGCCCCAGTGAGCATATAAGCACTGTCACGTTTGCCTTCTGTAAAACAAAATATGACAGCAGTTTGCATTTTTTTAAAAAGGCCATCAAAATGAGATCAGCCTGGTTAATAAAGAAATGCGAGGCAAGCTCATCACAAAACATTCCTGCATAGTTAAGCTGATGATGTTGTAATAATTTCCCAAAAACAGTGCTTCTATTTGACATGCAAACTGATTTCCAATGAAAAGTTGGTTAAAGTGAACTTTGACCCTTGAGCACACCAGCCAGAGTTGGTCAACAATAACCATTGCACAGACGTCAGCTGAAAGGGGGAGAGAATAAATATTTAGAAGAAGACTTACTGTTGACTGATGACTGTAGTTAAGCTAGTTTCACTATGACTGTCCATTCAGAGAAAATCAAATCAGTAATACTTACCATGTTGGACTTTACAGTTTTTACTCATCTGTCACTTTCCACGTCGATCACTCGATGAAGAGCTGCACACAAGCAAAATTAACATTTGTGTCTATAAGCACTGCTGCTTTTTAGATCACCATCACTCTGTGTAAAAGCTGCTGATGTTTAAGTGACGCTCAAGGTGAAAACTTTATCAGATGAAAACAGAATACTTGTCTTGCCTTCCCCCTGCTGCGTGCTACCAAATGGGCTGCGAGCCATGGCCATCTGCTGAGCCTGTGTAACTCATTCCAGTTTCTTCTGTCGGAGTTGTAGTGCTGGAGTTATATTTAGTATCCGTCTGCTGCCTTTTTCTTTCTGTAATCTTCTGTATGTAATGTTCTTTTTGATACCAGGGTCTGTACTATTCCTACTACAAGACAATTATTGAGGCTCCATCTTTCCTGGACGGCCTTCACATGGTCATGAACGATCGGCTGACAGAGCATCCGCTGGTTATTAACACACTGAAGAGATTCAACCTCTATCCAGAGGTAATATTGATTTTTGGCAAATTACCGTGCACATATTTCATTTGTTGCTCTCAGACTAAAATTATTCATAACTTTGAAATATTTTCAGAAGAAGATCAAATCTTCATTCTCGTGGGATGTATACAGTGAATCCCTTAGTACAAACAAAACTCTTTTACAGAAGGAATAAAAGGTTTGAAGGGTGAGGTAATTTTATCGTGAAGATGTTTTTAAGCTTTGGGATTTAAAAAAAAACCCAAAAAAACCCCACTTCATTAGTATTATATTGTTTGAAGTGTTGGCAGTACAAGAATCTGGATGCATTTAATGAGCCAAATCGGGTAATGCAAGTAATTGGAGAATTACATAACAACAGTTTATGAATTTAGCAAATAGATGTTTGGTGATTAAACTTTTTTAGTCTTTTAGATGATTGCTTATGTTGAATTTTGCTCCATGCATTTTCTCCTTTCATGCATCCCCTCTACTTTTTTCTCCCTGCAGTCTGCAGTCCTTTGCCATGTACCAAATAGCAATAAGTGCAGTTAGAAGTGGTATACATGCCAGATTAATGCGCTTTCCTAACAATGAATCTTGCGGGATGGAGAAACCAGATTTGTTTAATTCTTTCTTTACATGATGGTTAAGAAATATGCTCACTGAAGATGAGTGAGTGAGTAATCAGGCTACTCTGATGGAACAAAATAAAGGAAAGAGATGTGCTGGAAAGCCAACGTAGAGCATTGTTGCAGAACAGACTGTGAAACAGCAGCGTTTTATCTCCATTGTCTTTTTGTAATTTTCTGAGAAGCCAAATTGAAAGTTGAATTAGGTTGTTATAGATTGCACAGCTTAACATTGATTCTTTTGTGTGTGTGTGTTTTTTATTTTTTATTTTTATTTTTTTATTTTATTACAGTTAGATGACTTTAAAGGCAGCACGGTGGCACGGTGGTTAGCACTGTTGCCGCACAGCAAGAAGCTCCTGAGTTCAATTCCAACATCAGGCCGGGGTCTTTCTGTGTGGAGTTTGCGTGTTCTCCCCATGTTTGTGTGGGTTCCCTCCGGGTACTCCGGCTTCCTCCCACTGTCCAAAGACATGCAGCTTGTGGGGATAGGTTAATTGGAAAATCCAAATTGCCATTAAGTGTGAATGTGTGAGTGAATGTGAGCGCGAATGGTTGTCTGTCCCTGTGTGTTGGCCCTGCTACAGACTGGCGAGCTGTCCAGGGTGTACCCCGCCTCTCGCCCTATGACAGCTGGGATAGGCTCCAGCTGCCCCCCGCGACCCTGAAAAGGAGAAGCGGAAGCGAATGGATGATGGATAGATGACTTAAAAAAATAAAATAATATATGTATATATATGTATCACATTAGTCTTTATTTATTTATGATCCCTTTTTGCAAACTCATAGACCAGAATCCAAATCATGCTAGTGTCTACTCCTCAGAAATAAAAGGGATAAAACAAGTAATTTAAAATTTGATGTTTAAACAGGATTTTTACATCCTGTCTGTTCTCCCCAGGTGGTCCTGGCCAGCTGGTACCGGATGTACACAGGTGTAATGGGTTACTTTGGGATTCCCACAAAAATGTGCTGGTCCATCAACAGAGGAGAGGGACTCACTCCTGTGGACAGCTGTGAAGGTAAACACTGTTGCCATGGCATGTAAGTCTTAACTAGAAACGTGCTCAGTTGTGTGCATTTAGACACACACACACACACACGGGTCAAATCTAATCCGTTCCCGTATTTCATCCTACTTGGTGACAGTTGTAGCCCGTTTGCTTGAATAAACGGTTTAGCTGTCACTTAAAATGCAGAGAAGTATAAATATCGCAGATTTGAGAAGTTTGGTAAGTAATTCTTGACCTCATTTAACAGTCCGGCAGTCTGCTAAGATATCATTTTTAGGCCCGTGGTTTTAAAAAAAAAAAAAAAGAAGAAGTAGTAGTTAAGCTTAAGGCATCCAGGCATCCTCTGCAAAACTAACATTTACTGAATAACATTTAATGCGAAAGAAAAGAAATATACTCATTGATTTTTTTCTTCTAGCCTGAGGGGGAAAAAGTTTTTAACTTTCATCATTTCATCTTTTTTTTTTTTCTTTTTTTTTTTTTTTTTAAAGTTGGCTCACAGTAACATTTCCTGGAATTAAGTCTGCTAAGCGAAAACAAGCAAAAGCTGCTGTCAGCGTTCCTTTGTGAAGCTGCAGTCTCCATGTTTCTGTCGGTCTCATTAGTGAATGTGGCACCCCACGGCTGATGTACACAGGCTGTTTTCACAGTGTTTACATAAACCTGATGCAAGCTGCATTGCATTTCCTGTAACTGTCAGCCAGTATGTTATTTTTGTGTGGTTTAAAATTACACAGTAGAACAGAACAAGCAGTTTTGGAGCTAGATCCGTTTTCTGTTTGTCCAGTGATTTACCGTCACATCACGGAGATGATGCGATGCAGCTCTTAGCGATGTCAATGCATCTTCAATCTCTTAGTCATTGTTGCCGTGTAGGTCTGTTCTGTGTACCTTCTTATTATGCTGGAATCATTGAGAGGAGATCGTGCCAAGAATATAGCAGCGAGACGTCATTTAACTGAGCAGTGAAGTGAACAAAACCTATTTGCTGTCACTAAAGTTTCAAACTTTAATCTCACCATCAGAATTTAGAGAATGACTTGTGGAACCTGCAGTGGGATGTGCAGTAATAATGTATTATTCCAGTTTGATGGTTTTTGTTTGGGTTTTTTTTTTTTTTTAACCCCACATTTTTATTTATTTATTTATTTTTGATAGGGCTGATCGTGACATGTTGTTTAATGTACTTCCTGTTGTTATGCTTCAACTTTGGTGTCATTCAGATATGACATTTCAGATGCTGTATAAAAACTGTTATTTTTCTCACCCATCGGTTTGCTTAACTGCTTATCCAATTCGGGGTCATGGAGGTGTTGGAGGCTATTCCAGCCAACACTGGGAATGAGGTGGCATAAACTCTGGACAGGTCCCGGGTCTATCACAGGGCTAAATTAGAGACCGACAGACAACCATTCATACTCTGATTCATACCTACAGTCAAGTTAGAATTATCATTTAACCTAATATTCATGATCCTTTACTACGGGAGGAACCCATGCAGACACAGAGAGGACATATAAAAGACCTGAGTAGCATATATTTATCTCACACATACCATTACATATGGACTTTTTTTACTATAATTTTTTAAGTAGCAGAACTGAAAATTTTTGCAACACAGAGTCTGCAGGAAGTGATTAGTCTGTGGTGTCTTCATTGCAGAAGCGGAGCACAGAAATCCTACCTGTTTCATGGGTTATTTTTGCATGACCTAACTTATTCAATCTGCAGTGACCCAGTTTGCACACAAAATGCCTGCAAATGTGACTTTCAGATCATTAAACACGTAGGGGTGTGTGGGGGTGTGTTTTCAGATTACTCCTGTAATCAGAGATTTACATTCTTTTCGTGATTGCAGTCATTTTCAAGGGGTGTTAGGGTGTGTGAGATGACTGCAAAGTGGTCTGACAAAATCAAAGGTGAAGTTAAAATCATAAGTTCAAACATATTGGCTGTGCTAGTCAGTCAGAGAAACTTAAAATCAATAATGTTTCACACAGTGCACAAACTCACAGGAGGTATGTCTCCCATCAATATTTCACTGTAATAAGTTGTTAAATCTTGCAACAAAGTTTCTATGTTTGCATCAGTGATGTTAACTAAAGCATAATTATCACCTGTTCGATGGAGAAGGATAGAAGGCAGTCCTACAAGCAAAAAAAGTGCATAATGGATTTGCTTTAATTGGCATAGGCTGCAGTCCCCCGGTGACATGGAAGAGGATGGATGGATAAATGTACAAAGTCATTACTAATAGAAAAAATGTTAAAGCAAATGTTTCTCACATGCTGCTCAGCCTCCATGTGGGTGGTGCTCCTGCTCAGAGAATGAATAGTAGGATGGCAGAGCTTAGCAGTATTATTCATACATTTTCCAGTTGCACTTTTTAACACAAGGAAAATCTTGCTAAAGGAGCATGAAGTGCTATTCTACATGACAAAATAGGTAATTAGCAACAGTAAGGTGAACTGAAGTGAAAGTAACTGCAGACAGAGATGATGGGTTTGTTTCAAATCCTATGCGACGTGCAAATATACCAGTAGTTGAATCTTGACGTACAGCTCTTGATCATTTACATTTGTAAAACATTATATCAGCAATTTCCAATGTCCAAACGATGTCCTCAAGTTACTACTTTCTAATAAGTCTTTGTGAAATGTAGGAAATTAGCTGGTCAATGGAAAAATAATCAGTTATCATGTTATCAAAGCTGAATTATATGTCAGAGAACTCTATTGGTAGCATTTAACCTGGATAAAAACTGCATTTCTGCCTGTCTCTGTTGCGCGCTCCAGGAATGGGTGACCCAGCGTATTTCTATGTGGCCTGTGTGTTCCTGCTGAACGGCATGATGATGAGCATCTTCTTCATGTACGGCTCCTACCTCAGGTAACCTCTCCAGCCCAGCACTCTCTCCTGACTCGCTCACATGGACACTAGTGAGGAGAGGATGATTTTTAAATGGTCCATCCCAATAAGCTGTCAGGCGTAGACCATTTGTCTGCTGTCTTGGTCAGATTTATAGACTTGAACTATCGGAAAGAAGATAACTTCTCTGAATCCGTCTGCTGCTTTCTGCTCTTCTTTTAATCCCACCTCATTTTCATTTTTCCTCATTAGTGGCAGTCGACTGGGTGGTGTTATTACCACATTGTGTTTTTTCTTCAATCACGGTGAGGTAAGTGCAGTTCCTTTAATATCTTTATCAGGATATTCAAATGTTGGAGCTTTGGGAAGTCTAAGCTTCTGAAATCTGTAAAACTCAAAATGAAAAAAAAAACCCTCAGAAAAAGAGAAGGATGGTTAATAGGGACTCGTTTCAGCCCTCAAAGGAGCTTAGAGTTGTTTTTGGCTCGCACTCAAAGCTGAATCCCTCCTCCTATCTTCTTCTCTCAAGTTTCCTCCAGAACAAATTTCAGTCAAGCGCACACTCGAACACATTTCTGTCCTTTCCCCGAGTGCTATGGCGGCTTGTGACAGCAGCATCTGTAATTTCCACTTTTTCGGAGGAAGTAGTAAAATGGCAGTCTGGCTGGGTAGTCGCTCCGAGGTCAGTGTTGACTGCATTAAAATAGAGGTGTGGGTGTTTATTAGCCTTTAGAGACAGGCTCACTAATCTGTGAATTATGCTTCTGCAGGAAATCTAAAACCGCAACTGCCCCAATAACCGAAAACAAATTTAAACTTAACCCGGAAACCTCCGCAAGAACCGAACGTCAACTCACGATAAATGTAACTACACATCGTGTGGACGCATACCACAACAACTTGAGTGGTGTGGAAGGTTGCAGCATAGGGATAAAAGGAGTTTCTGGTTACGATGTAGATTTCCTGCAGAAGTCTAAATCAAGCTCAACAGCAGGACCTAAGCAGACTGCTCGCTGGATCCGTGCACAGATAAAAGCTGCAACTGTGCAGTTTGTACCTTTATTAGTCTACTGTTCCTGTTTTCACACTAAAATGGAGTAAGGAATCAAATTAATAAATCATTTGTTGGAATACAAGAGCTCCTTATTCTATATTCAGCATTTTACATGGTGTTATTTTTATTTCTTTTAATTTTATTTCAGTTTTTTCTGTTTAATTGTGAGTCTTTCATTTGTAATATTTTTACTTTGAAGTTTGGGGGGGGGGGGGTTGTTTTGTTTTTTTCGGTATGGTATCTCATGTTATGGAACTGCACACCTACTGCGCTATGAGCCACAATGCAATTCATGATTAATGCTATAGCGAGTATATAGAGCCATATCAATGTCAAAAGTAGACATTCAGAAAGTTAGATGCGATCCATTTGTCTAAACTTGATTGTAGGCAATCACTTTATTTGAGGACTGAAAAGCATGAAGTACAGTCACAAAGAAACAGTCACACATCAGCCTAAAGTTGATTAACTACAGCTAAACTTTCACCTGCTTTATTTTATTCTGGTGAGGTGACCTAGAATTCATCAATAAATGTGTTCTCCTGCTACAGCATAGATTAAGAACATGCAAACCTCCTCACACACAGTGTTTTTGCATTTAGGAAATCCTGCCAATAGACCGGTACCAGATGTCTTACATTAAGTGTCTGTAATCTCTACACAAGCTGTGTGTTACTATACAGTCTGTGTCAATATAGGATTAACTGAGATTTATTTATAAGCTGCAGAGGAGTAAAATGTATCTCTGTTTTGTTTTTTTTTTCCTCTCAAAGAAAATCAGAGCTATGTGAATTTGAGTTTGAGCAAATTAGATTCTTTTCTTGTCCACGTGTATTTTATCAGAGCACTCGAGTGATGTGGACTCCGCCTCTGAGGGAGAGTTTTGCCTACCCTTTCCTGGTCCTGCAGATGCTTCTTCTCACATACATCCTACGGTAAACTCACTCAGCGTCTCCACTGCTCTGCTAAATTCATATTGTTGTAATTTGGTAAAGTGTTTCAGAATGTTCAAAGGCATCAGAAACACACCCGAGCACATCATGAATAACTGTCATGTTAATACTGGTGTGGGACCTTGTTTTGCTTAATGAACTCCAAATGATGGTGGAAACATCTTTTGTGATTCTGCTCCATGTTGACATAATTGAATCACAAAATATCTGTTTGCTGAATGACCACATCCCAAAAGGGCTTTACTGGCTTCAGAGTTGGTGACTGGGGAGGTCAACAAAATCTGATCTCAGTATCATGTTTATGAAATCCATACATTTTTGACTAGGGCTGTGCGATATGACCAAAATCTCATATCCCGATATAAGACATCTATCGTCCCAATAACAATATAAATCACAAAAATTTTACATTTTCTGTAAATTCTGTGAATCTCAGGCAGCTCGACTTGCGTGAAGTGCTTCCAGCTGGGCGTCGTGTACCTGGAGTCGAGTGTTTTAACCGATGCATGAAACGGCGTGCTGCGGGGAAAAGCTTGTTCTAACGTTTGAGTCTAAGGTTTATTTTTAGCACCTGACGGCTCTTTTCTCATCCGTAAACACTCTGCATACTCTTTCACGTGATTCAGTTTATTTTGAAAAGTCTCAACAGGATCTTGAGCTTTATTGTGAAAGGTTTATGTGGAAAATAAACAAGCGGACATGCGATAGTTTTACTGTCGTTGTTGCTAACGACAACGCATAAAAAGATGTGCTTGTCCGTCTGTAGTGTGGTTATATTAAATATAAGAGAAAGAGAGAACTTCAAGAAATGAATATAGCCACTACAGTTACCATCAAAACAGTGAAAAAATATTGCCGTAAACAGTTTATTTTGCGACACCACGAAACAAACGATAGCGTAAAATGAAACGATAGATGTTTTTATATCGTCATCCGATATATATCGTTATATCGAACAGCCCTATTTTTGACACAGTTCACTGCTCTGTTTGAAGATGATAAGTTGTAGCTATGAATGGATGTACATGGTGTGTAACAATACTCCGGCTCTGTGGCGTTCAAACGGTGATTGGAATTAAAGCTCAGAGTGTTCCAGAAAACATTCCCAATGCTATCACACCACCAGCAGCCTGGACCTTTGGATACTGTCTCAAGCTTTAGCAGAGTGGAGAATCATTAGACTAGCTGCAGTTTTTTATTTTTAGCCTTAAAATTTCCAGTTCGATTGATCTTGTGTTCGCTACAGCCTCAGATTTCTGTTGACCCAGGCATGGTTTTGTGCCATCGAAGCACAACTACCTAAAGGATAGTTGGCTAATTCTGAGCCGCTTTTCTGCTCAGCACAGTTAGCCGTTCTGTCTACTCTGACCTCTTATCAGCTATGAATCTCTGCCTGCTAAGCTGCTGCTGGATGGGTTTTTTTTTGTTTTTGTTTTTCATTATTCTGGGTGAACTGTAAAGACTGATGTTATGCAAATTCCAGAAAATCAACAGTCTCAGCAATACTCAAACATCACTGAAATACCTCCACTTCCCAAATCATCACTGCCGTCACGTGATTGTCTGATCAGATTATATGACAATAAGCAGCTAAGCATAATATCCAGATAAAACGATCACCAAGTAGATGTCTGAACACATGTTCATGTAATCAGTTCATAATACCTACACCTACACGGCTCAGATATTATATGGTGCATTAGTTGGGTATATACTCTGCATGCCTAATTATATCTAAGCGCTTGAACAGTTTTAAAAATATGAAGAAAGATGGGGAAGCATCTGTTTTTTCTTTTCATTTTAACACCCAGCTGGTGGTTGGCAGCTCAAGTTGTGTGAAAACTGTTTTGATACTGTGACTTCTCTTAGTGTCACAGTTAACAGTAAATTGTGAAGTACTTCTGTTTTATTTTCTTTTTAGCGTAACTTTGTCCATAATCAGGTTTATATATTACCATTAGTGTGAGAGTGAATGTTTGTACATCTGTGTTTTCTCAAGCATTTTAATACATCTCATCTTATCTCTGCCACACCCTTGCTCTCACCACCTTTTCCCTCCATCTGTGTCTCTTCCCTCCCCAGGACACGGAACCCGAGCCGGACAGCTATGGTCGCTCTGGGCATCTCCAATTTGTGCTTTATGCTGCCTTGGCAGTTTGCCCAGTTTGTGCTGCTCACCCAGGTAAACAGGGCAAGATAAACATTGTGAGAGAATGTGGAGGGGAATGGAAAGGGAGCACAGAGATTAAAGAGAAAATAGAGACTTGGAGAGAACAGAGGACTGGCAGCGCAGGTGCAAAAAATCAGACGCTGGGTAACATAGCAAAGAAATAAAAAAAAAATCAGAAAGACTGAAAGAAAAGGGATAAACTCAGGAGATTCAAATCATATAAAATTCAAAAAACATTCTTAAATTGAAATTTTTCTAACTGATTGACACATTTAGGTTAGTATAAAGAAGTAGTAAATTAAGGTGTGTGGGCTGGCAGACAGAAGAGTCGAATAACTTCAGAACAAACAGGTCACTGCAGCAAGCATATGTGCTTAGTAACAGTGTAGCCCATGCTGCTGCTGATGCTGCTGCTGCTGCCCCCTCAGGGCTCTGCTGCTTTTGTGCAGGGACTTTAACGCGGGACGTGTTGTTTCACAGATATTATTTCTTTGTTTAACATTTATAAGCTGCTAATTGAACCCATTCACCTCAGCCACTGCATGCATAATGCAATTCAAGGCCAAATACACCCACAAGCACTGCTTACTCATCAGTACAGAGGGAGTTTGATGTCAGTTGTTGGGTTTTACTATTTTTTTTGGGGGGGGGGTTGTTTTGTTTTAAAATTTGCAGTCACACAGTTAATTTTCTACAAGGCCTACAGTAACCCCCTTGAGCAATTACAATGGTCAAACAGAATTTGATTATGATCAGTAATTGTATTGGCCAATTTAGAAAACCTTCCAACTGATTACATTTGAGTGTGAATTCCCATCACAAGAACAGGTACTGGACAGCGTCCCATCATGGTGTCCTGTGGGGGTGGGTCCTTTGAAGTATCAGGGGGGTTTTTTTGTTTCTTTTTGTTCGCTTGTTTGTTTTTTGTTAAAGCGCTCACTATAACTGTAGTTAGTTTTGTTTTACATTATCAGCAGTAACTCAGACTTGTTCCCAGTGGGTGCTGGTGGTCTTACCTCTGCTTTGAGCAGATGATGTAGTTCTTTATTCAGCAGCACCCTTTAGTTTGTGCTGGAGTGGTTTGCAGTGGGGATGTGAATGAGCACCTCCTAATCTAAGGCGTTCTCAGCTTGAAAAGAGTAGCTTGCCCACTCCAGGTGGGGAATGAGTTGCTGGTCTAAATCAAAGTTCTAGTATCTTGCGGTCTTATTTATAAATGAGGGAAGACTGAAGCAGGAGATTGCCAGATTGAGTGGTGCAGTGTGTGCAGAAATGTGGATCCTGTTCCAGTCTGTCATGATGACGAATGAGCCGAGACGGAAAGCGAAGATGTCGATTTTCCAGTTGACCTACGTTCCTACCATCCTGTGGCCTCTAGCTGTGGGGACTGAATGAAAGAATGAGATTGCCGAAACAAGCTGGAGCTGAAGAGTGTCATTTACCTAGAGCTCAGAGTAGAGTTGCTACTCTTCCACGTTGAAAGGAGCCACTTCAGACGGTTCAAGTAAATGACTAAAATGCCTCCTAGGTGAGGTGTTTGAGCATGTCCAAATAGGAGCAGACCGCATGAAAGCTGGATGGATGGATGCTAAATATAAAGTAGGGTTTTTATGTGATAAATACACTGACAAGACAACAGGAAATAAAGGGAAGAGGAATGCAGTAAAGGATCCAAGTGGTATTCGGGTTACATTTATAACAACTGCTATGTGTATTTAGAGAGTCACTTTATTTTAACTGTAATCTTTCAAATGCCGTGATGTATTCAGGCTTTGGGTTTAAGTTCTGGAAATGCACAACAAAAATATTATGTTAGAGTGCTTCACAAGATACATTATGTAATGCAATGCCATAAAAGCTTTAAAAAATGAGTTGTTACATGTAAAGTGCAGATTTTACAGTTTGTTTGTTTGTTTTATTGCACCCCATTTTCCCTGTTCTTTCTTGATTAATATACAATACTACAAATTACTGTTGGAAGGAAGGAATGTAAATTTCCCCTAAAGGCTCAAATCCAGCTTTGACATTAACAACTTTTAATGTAAAGATAATCATGGGAATGTTATTGTTGTTTTGGACTTTTTTGTATGTGATGCATTAATGAGCTTTGTGGAGTGAATTGTTAAGGTAAACTACGCTTTGTTTTCCAGGTGGCTTCTCTGTTTGCTTCGTACATTCTGGGCTACCTCGCTGCTGCTAAGATGCAGTCCATCCTCGTCACTCATATGGTACAGTAGATAACTTTTCCTTTTGCAGTTATTTTGTTTCTAATGGCAAAACGTTACGTATTCGACACTAGTGTATTTGCATAAAGTTGAAATGTATTCGTTTAAAGCAATTTACCAAGATGTACAAGGTAGACTTTCTCTGAATCAGGTGTTGGGCATAAGTGAAAGTTTTCATTGCTCCTGTCCTCTGAGCTGTAACCTGCTCTCGCTCAGTTCTCCTTATCTCCCTCAGCTCCTCGGCCAGGAGAAATTCACATGAGCTGGTTGGACAAAGTCAGCAGAGACTTTGTCCTTGAAAAAGCTTTAAGGATACCACTGTGCATACATGAGTGCCTAAAAGACGAGGGTTGTGTGGGCAAGTTATTTCACACCACCAAGGACAAAAGGATATCTGTATTTGTTTGGAAACGTGTAAAGATATTTTTCTTTGTGGGTGTAGTATTTTGGACGGTTGTCCCTCTTTTCCACATTCTTTACCCATAATCCTCTCAGCATGCCAAGCTGTTAGCCAGGGCCTGTGTGCGCCACTGATAAGGAGAAGGGCCTTTGTGGTAAGATGCTGGAGATTTGTGTCAGAGGAAGGCATATGGCTCTGCATAATTTAGAGAGTTTGGGAGTGATGACTGTGTGTGTGTGTTCAAGAAAAGAATAGACACAACCAGGAGTCGATGTCCTCTGTGACCTCCAGCTTGTGTTAATGAGCCTGAAAACTGTCATTAGTTACAGAGCGTACACATGTGTTCACTCATATGCCAATAGGATGTTTCTAATTGCATACAAAGCCTCAAAATATGTGAGCTACTGTTATAAAAATACCAGAAATACTTCCTGTCTGAATGGCAGCACTTCAGCATTTGATTATTCGGATATCATTTGGTTTCTAGGTTTTTAAGCTGCTTTTTTATGTGGAAATATGTAAGACATTTCTCTCTCCTACAGCATCCATCATGCTTCATCCCACGTTTTTGTTGCCATTTTAGTGACTTTGCAAAGTAAAAATCTTCCCAGATGCTTAATTGACCTTTTTTCCCCCTCAAAAAGACACTGAGCGGAAAACCTTATACACAGGATGGCTTTGCAATCTGGGGTCTTGCTCTTAAGCAAGAAGTCAGCTCAGTACGTGAGCAATGAACCGCTCTCATTCTTCATTGAGCTAACACAAAGGCAGAGACTGAGTACTGTAAGAGAGAGAAAAGGAAAAGCTCTAAATTTTCAGTGTTGATTAGCATTATGAGAACCTGAATGTATGTACAGTACTAAGTAATCAAAGCAATTTTGATCAGTCGAAAAGCACTTTGACATTTTCTAGAGCAAACATTCATCAATATGACGATAATAATAATGATGTTTCAGTAAAAATATCTGTTCAGTGCCTGAATAACTGGTAACATTTTGACTGTCACCACCGAGGTTCATCTGGCAGTACCGTTTACGTTTCCAATACTCTGAGTTTAGACTCATCACAGAAGCCACAGAAGCAGAAAAAGAAACCTTTTTATATGTAAAATGCCAAAGTCTTTTTACAATCTGTAAAGCACTGCAGCGGCTTCATAATCGGTATAATTTTTCTAATAAGTATCTACAACAGTTTTTCATAATAATTACAGCAGCTGCTGAAGCCGCTGGTTTGTCATCACTGTCAACATTATAAACAGGTCATTGAATAGGATTGTATTTTAGTTGTGGCAGTATATTTATGTTTTAATACATTAATGCATGTTTACATAATAAAAGTGTTGGTTTTTTAAAAAAAACATACAAACGCCAACATCAACAGTGGCATGCAGACTATTAATACGCTGTATCCCTGACGATCTTCCTGCTACAGAAACGTTTTTTGCTGTTGGCGGTAAACATGGGACTAAGTGTTTTTATGGCAGCATTAGAAATACTGGCTAAACTTCAGCACTACCTGCCAAGCTCGGATGTTCAGCATTGTTTAATTGCACACACGGGTCATGCACATCATGCTGCACCAAATAGGACGGGGCTGCACTAAACGGCCCTCAGTGGTTTGAATACCACGTTCATGTGAGGAATGATGCTTTCTCTTTGTCCTCTTTATGCAGATCACACTCGGCGTCTGCTTTGTCCTGATGTTTGGTAACTCCATGCTCCTTACATCCTTCTACGCCTCTTCACTAGTGTCAATCTGGGTGAGTTGGAGGCTCCTGTATTACGAATGTTTAATCATTGATTGATTCAAGTCAGTCCTGTTTACTCTGATCAGTGATGCAGGTGGATTTAAATTTCAGCATATTTGTAAGAGTACACAGTTGTAACACATGTGTAACAGTAACTGCATTGTATTTTTTTCCTTTGGAGTGGAGTTATTCCACTTGCTTTTCACTTAAGATTTGTTGTTTTATTTTTTAGGTAATCATTGCAATGAGGGAGCGATTTGCTCAAGTCTTCAGACAAGGCATTGTCATCTGGGTACTAAAGAGTTTTATTATCTATGCTTTACTGCACAACTACATGTTTCCACTTTACAGTAATTGTGTCATTCTTACAACATTCACACACTTTTGAGAAGAAAAAATAAAACGAGAAAATGGTTGCATGAATATCCCAAAAACAAGTGTGTAGAGAGAGAGAGAGAGAGAGATCACATAATGTTGATCTAACAGAATAGAGTGTTCTCAGACAGTCGGGTATCCCTGCTGTGCTAAAATATTTGAAGCTAACATCTCAAAGAGTAAACATGCTTTTGTTTATGTAGTTGTCCAGTCAGCCTCATGGTTTGACTGCTTTGTTCTTCACCACCATACATCGCCTGTCTGAATCTTATGTATGTATTTGAACATGTCAATCCACCAATGTCAATGTGGGTTTTTTTTTTCTGTACAGGTCATGCAGGGCCTGGCTTGGGTCGGCTCAACAGTTCTGCTTAAATTCCTGCTATCCACAGTCTTGGGTGCCTCTGATGATGTAAGTAACTCTAACTCCCCGTCTGTAAAATCAAACCCTTTTTCTTGACTCAACATTAATAACGGAAATGAACATTTTTAGGTCATTGTGTAGATATTAAGTAGATGAACCAAAAATGACCTCATAAGTGGGCTGATATAGTAGCTCAGTTAATATAAATGTAAATGGACTAGCCATATGGAGCACTTGAGCCATGTTTGATATTCACTATCAGAAAATGTCAAATTGAATTATTAAGAACGGAATTAAATATGCAAAATTTAAGAATAATTTTTTCACAGGGTGGATTAAAGTTTTATTCAAAAATGTATGTTTTCTAGGCTCACATCAGTGGATTAATCAAGTCTAAGTTCACGAGCTACAAGGACTTTCACACTCTGATGTATACATGTGCTGCTGAATTTGACTTCATGGAGTTGGAGGTAAATTCTGTTCCTTTGTCAGAGCTAAAAATTTGTCTCCCTGCCACTAAAGGATGACGAGTGATCACTGTGATTCTGAGCTGAAGCCTTCCCTGATAAAATGCTAGTCTCAGGCAGTTTTTTGAGGAAAATCTTGCCAGGTCTCACTTTTTAAAATGTCAGTGCTGTGAAGATGTCAGAAATGCTGTTAAAGGCCTGCTCCTTTGTATCAGAGCTGCTGGATTGTCTTACAGCAGGGCTGAGTGTGGAGGAAACCAGAACTGTGCTCTGAATTTGACAAGAAACAAAATCTGACAGCAAAACCTGGCAGCTCATTTTGGGCTGAGTTATGGGCTAGACAGTCGCCTGGTTTTGTGTGTGGTCTCTCAGCACTGCAGAGAAAACGGTGCATGCTTTTGGAACAGGCTGGCTCAAGCAAAATGCAGTGAAGCAGCTGTAATCAGTGCAGTCATATACTTTCTTAATGCTTTAAGATTCACTTTCTTTAATTAGCACTTTGCAGTTTTATTCTAATCTGTTTATTATATATAGAATTGTAACATATCATGATTCATAGTATTTTGGCCTTTAAGCATTTGCAGTTAATTATTGCAGTGCTCAATTAAGAATTTCCCAAACTGTTATTTATTTTTATAACCATGTTTGTATTTTAGTAGTAATTTGCTGTGCATTAGTCTCTCACTTGCCGGCCTCCTCCTTGAAATTATTTCAGCTTAGATATACTACAATGCTCAGATGTGATAGTTGTCCTCTGTCTCTGAAAGTATTATTGTAGGATATACCTAACAATATAAAGGGTCTTGAGGCGACTGTTGTTGTGATTTGGCTCTATAAAAATAAAACTGAATTGAATTGTCTTCTTCTCTGCCTCAGACTCCTGTGCGTTACCTTAAAACGTTGCTGCTGCCCATCAATGTGCTGGTGGTTGCGCTCATTGCTGGCAGGGTAAGTCCTCTTGTAGGTATAAAACCTTCCCTATGAAAAGGATAAACATTTGTTTTCAAAGCAGCAGACGTATCAGGTGAGGTGTATTGGGAAGCCTTGCTCAGAACAGTTATGGGTTTCTCTTGGTCTGTGAGAAAATGGATGAAAATTAGCAAGATCTGTCTTAGTCACTGCTCTTTTTGTTCTTGTATCACCTATGCTACAGTTTACAGTACATTCCTGCATATCGAACCATCGAAATTGCTCAAACAGCTGGCATTTGACTTCATAAGTCCACATTCTCACATTCAGCTGTTGAATGTCTGGAAGGCTGGATGATTTTGCTGAAATCTTATGAAAGCAGCATTAATATGCAGTTTATGGCTGTATAAATATCATGGTGTCAGACTGACACTAAAGGTACAAGTGAACATCGTCACCACACCATGGTTCATATGAGAGAAAAGGTGCTTTCACTGAAAAAACTCCAGAGAAGATCACACATACTGGCTCATGAGCTTAGATACTTTATATTTTTAAGCTTGAGGTGAGGAAATGTTGGCAGAAAAAGCAAGAAAGCCCAAACAGTCATGTGTATAAGAAATCTTTTGTTTTTTTTAAAAATCTCAAACTCTTCTGTGAAGAAGAAATTATGCAGCATGACTGTCAGAAAGTGTCTGCAGCATGAAAGCTACGATCTCACCTTTCAGAACAGCAGGCAGTCAGACATAAAGATCAAATCACTTATTGAGCCGTGAGCTTCTGCTACACAGCAGCTGAAAGACAAAGCTGCTGTCTGCTCTTGTTAGTTCACGTAGCTTTCCTTCCATTCTTGTGTAGACTAAGAAGCATTTTTTAAATTCAGGTGTTGTTGTTTCAGTTTCAGTAAACTACAGTTGTTTTATTTGGACTTGTCAGGAACTGATATACATTTTTATATTTAAGCCTTTAAGAAAGAGAAGGATGAAAAGATTTCCCCCCGATTCTGGTCACGCTAACATTTGTAGAGGGGAAACATCAGAGGAAAAATATTTGAGGAAGTCCTATTTATATGATTTAATCTCATTATACCCTGCCCACGCTAAGCTAAGAACACATGAATCCGTTTGACAAAGCATGATATGCAGAGCATTTAAACATGAGAAGAAATATCCTTCGAAGTATTTGTCTTTTTCAGACCATCCAGGATATAGTCCGGTGCCTGAGGCACGGGGAGAAGACGTTGGCCAAGACTGAGGACGCTGACGAAGCTGCAGGGTGAGGCTTCCTCTCTAGGGTGATTTCAAGGACTTGATGCATTCTGTTGATCAAACAGAAACTGTGTTAAACTGGGAAAATAAAATGCTCTAAAATAATGCAGTGTCTTACCTTTAAAAGTAAAATAATGGCTTGATTTTTGTTTTGAGTGGGCAGCTGGCTTCACATATTTCTGTTCTGTGTTGCAGGTCTGAAATAGCTGCAAAAGGAGAGGTGAGAAAAATACTTACATCATTTTTTTTTTTTTTGTTAAATATATGCAGATATAACAATTATCTTGACCACACCTCCACGTGTTCCCTTTTCCTAAACCTGTTTTATATGATTATATTCTCCCGTGCAGTGAAGTCTGCTCAGTTTCTATGCCCCAGAGTGATTTTGATCCCTTTTCTCATTACCAGGAAATCAAAGGCATTTTTCCCTTCTGCTATGAAATCCCACTCTACTGCCTTTTGTCTGCTTTCTCCCAGCTGCTTCATGTCATTTTCTGTAATATCTCTCTCTGGGCAGTAAAATGTTCAGATGTTCAGTTTCTAAAGCTTGCCTATATAATGGCTCTGATGGTCTATAAATGCTCAGAGAGGAACACTTTCTCACTGCGCAGGAAAATACAGGTTAAAATGTACTGAAGAGATCACAGCTAAGGAGCAGATCACAGAGCTGTTTCTGATTGTAGTTAATGACAACTTCCACTGTTTGTTTTTTAGTTTGCAGTATGTGCAGCACAAATTTAGATCAAATAAATTTGATTGCTTAATCCAATCCTACATCAAATGAGCGACACTAACATTACTGAAATGCGTCTGCACTTTATGTCCGTAAACAGCACAGCTGTCATCTGTGACTTTTCCATCTGTGGCGTTGAATCCAGAGTTCTCAGTTGGCTAATTGTCATTTAAAACGGAGAGCAACAGGAAGGCGAGCATTAAGACACACCATTATAGACTAAATACTGAGTTTAAATTCAAATAAAACATAGTGGTTTTGTTAATACTTTTTTTAATAGTTACATTTTTGTGTTCAAAGATGATTTTGCAGGCATCGTAACATTTGCCATCCTTGACAGGTATGCCAATGTCATTTGTGCCATTGGCATACCTGCCAGTTCTGGTCTTATCAGGCAAATGCTGGTTTATCAACATAGGTCTCACAAAAAGACCCCACGACCTCACCCCACCCTCATAAAGTCTGTTTTTTCAAACGTTGGTCAGAAACATGCACACACGTAACCTAATGTAGGTCATAATGTAGAGCACAAAAAAGTTGATACGGTCCCACTGTTTGGTTGATGCCCTTCCAAAGCCCTGACTAGCTCTCCTCGTGTAACGGCCATCTCCTCCACACTCTGGAGACTATGTTGGCAGACATAGCACACTACCTTTGCAACCTGATTGGGCTGCAGGTTCTCTTTCATGCTCCCAACTGTAAGAAGGATAGTAACAGATACTGAGAGAGAGTAATGGCCTGTAGTTACCACCTGAAAAGCCGTTCTCTTTCTGTGGCGGCTTAGCTGTTGTCTCTCCAGTGCTCCTGTTTTTACTTTGATTTGCGCCTCAGGATGTAAAATGGGTTCACAATAGATTCTGCTTCCTAAGTGAACTGATTGATATCTCTAAACGTAATGGACTTTGTGTTTTATTACAGTGATTCATTTATTTATTTATTTTGTCTGAGCAATACATTTAAAAACAGACCATCTATATATTTGTTACACCTCAAAGGTGGACACACTGTAGGCTTGTATCCACAGATGAAACATTGAGCTTTTTGAACTGGTATCTACATATAGAATTTTTCCACTCTGAGGAGTCAAAGTGCTTCTTACTGAAAGCCACTTGCACTCTTTCATGTGGTGCGATTCAATGAGTTTGGGCAGTCTGGGGTTCAGCATCTTGTCCAGCAGCACAACCACTGCTAGACAACCAGCTGTTCCTCTTGAGCCACAATGGCTCAATTTTTGCTTCTTAAATTACTTACAATATATTTAAATTTCAATCATTTGACAACTTGATCAAATATTTTAGCAGAACCTGACAGTAAAGAAAATATCAGGTCTAAGTTCAAATATACACTCTGCCCTTTAATCAGTGTGAAAAGCACTTTGTGATAAGTAGTCATTAAGGCAGCAATGTAAAATACTATGAAATATGAATTTATATAGCAATGTCAGTCAAGTTGTGTTTTATGAGTCAAACAGATTTTGTGAAACACTCGGCTACAGAAGAGTTTCTGGTAGATGATTGTGGATTTGTTTAATTTTCTGTGTGTCCGTTTTGATTCGATCTGTGTGTGAACCTGTTTCTCTGTAGATGGTGTACCACAGTCTGCAGCTGGTGGCTTTTGCTGTCCTGGCCATCCTCATTATGCGCCTGAAGCTCTTCCTGACGCCACACATGTGCATCATGGCGTCATTGATCTGCTCCAGACAGGTCTGTCTCTCAGTGACGCACAAAAGCAAAACAAAAAAACTGCTTTCAATATTGTTTTACTTACAAAGTCTCCTCTTTACTTAAATATAATGAGTATGTTCTGTCCCTTCAGCTCTTTGGCTGGATTGGGGAGAAGTTTAAGCAGCACACTGTGGTTTTTGCTGTATTGGCCATCATGGCCATACAGGGAATGACCAATCTGCAGGCCCAGTGGGCGATCATTGGAGAGTTCAGCAACCTGCCCCAGGAGGAGCTGCTGGACTGGGTCCAGGAAAACACCCGTCCTAGTGAGTGACCTTGCCTGATTTCATCGCTACCGAGCAAACAATAGTATTAAACAAGTATTAAGATTAATAAGCAGCTCGCCCTGATTGCAGCATAAAATCTTAAAGTACCATATTTCCCGGACTACAAAGCGCACCTGAATATTAGCCGCACAAGCTAAAATCAGGGGAAAATCCTGTTTTGTACATACATTAGCCGCACCTGACTAAAAGCCGCAGGTGTTTCAATGTTGACTTATCATATGTAAGAGAATATGCACAAAGGGAATTGTCAGGAAAGAGATGGCTGTTTGGAGACACACCCCTTTTATTAATATTTTGAAAAACAAGTTATGGGTACATATTTGCACATGTAGTACATAACAGTAACCTACAGCACACCAGAAAAATAGATTCAGACTACCTTTTAGGCTCAGGTGCAGTGACACGGCTTTAACAAGAAGAAAAGTCAGTCATTCACCACCATCTTTCTCTTCTTCCTGCGCACTAAAACCACCAAAGTCCTCTCCTCCAGCGTCAGATACAAACAGGCTCAGGATGGCTTCGTCATCCACTCTCCGCTTCTCTCCTTCGTTGTCACTTTCAAAACCAAAGAAATCCTCATTGTCAGTGGCGGTGTCCTCCTCTCCATCATGCAGCAGTCCAGCCCTTCAAAATCCGTTGGTGATCGTGGATGTTTTCACACTTTTCCACGCTGTCAGAATCCACCGTTGGAGTTGAGCATAACTTGCTTTTCGCAAGTTTATCGCCGCTCATCATCCACGCCTCCCGCTGAACGCGTAGCGCTACTTTGAAGTTTGTTTTTCGCGCTACTTCGTACGGCACTACGTTGCCTGGCGGACGGACATGTGACTAACATACCACTCTTGAACCCCGATCCTTCCGCCAGGCAACGTAGTGCCGTACAACAGCGGAACAAACAAAACAAATCGTCTTACGATATGACAAAAATCATGGACAATCCATAGAAAAGCCGCACCTGACTAAAAGCCGCAGGGTTCAAAGCTTGTGCAAAAAGTAGCGGCTTATAGCCCGACAATTACGGTATATTCTATTGTTATAAATTATGAAGCACTGTATATAATCTAATGAATGAAAACTTTCCTGTTTGATGCTCTGCTTTTGGTTTGTTTTCTTTTTATTTGGTTTTTGCTTTGATTGCAGATGCTGTGTTTGCTGGAGCGATGCCCACCATGGCCAGCGTAAAGCTTTCCACTGGTCGGCCTATTGTCAACCACCCTCACTACGAAGATGCTGGGCTGAGGTCAGAGGAATCTACAGCTCTTCTTCAATCTCCAATCTAGCATTAAATTAGCTATAAAAGATTTAAAATGACCATTCTTCAAATGATGATTGTGCTACTTTTCACTTCATTAACTTAATTCTGGAAGCAAAAATGTTGGGTCAATTTTTCCCCACATCAAAAATACAGGTCCTTTATTACCTTTTTGTTCTCATCCCACTGCTTTATCACACTTTATAACATTGTTGATTCTCACAGAGAGAGAACCAAGCTGGTCTACTCCATGTACAGCCGCATGTCTGGAGAAACCGTTAAGAGGAACCTCATGAAGCTGGGAGTAGAGTTTTTCATCCTTGAGGATTCGTGGTGCACCAGGCGAACCAGGTACTGCAACAGCATCGCTGCTCCTTTCACTGTCGTGTGCACAGTAGGCAAGCTTAAGTCGACCCCCCTACTGCAGCAGTCCACGCTGCTAATGAAGTTGCACGATTAAACAGTCAATTTGTGTTTATTATTATATTTACAAAATGCCACAGTTTTTGTGTTGGTTGTATCATTTTATTTTGTTGTATTTATCCGCGATACCTTAAAGGCCAGTCCGTAAAAATATTGTCTGACATTAAACCGGTCCGTGGCGCAAAAGAGTTTGGGGACCACTGCCCTGCTGGACAACTTTTACTCCTTTTAGGCAAACAGTGCAACCATTAAGTTTGCTGTTAAATCTTTTTTGACCACTGTTAACACAACACAATAAAAATGTGAAGAATATTTTCAAAAAGGGATTAAAAAGACAAACAAAATGGAATCGAATTCAACTTTGTCATTGCACATGTCACAAGTACAAGTCAACGAAATGCAGTTTGCATCCATCCAGAAGTGCTTTAGCCATGATATAGATATATTTCAAATTTATATTAGCAATAATATAGATATATTACAGAAATGGGTCTGTTATAGGTATGTTACAATGTACACGGTATGAAGGTATGTTATGAATATGCAATAACTATAAGTATGTATAGGCTATGAACAGGATATACATATGGAAACTATACAGAAATATGAACTATGCAAGTTGTAAACAGTTGTAGAACTATAATTATTGTATTGTACAGAATGATTGTTTATACAGAATTATACAGTAGTGCAGTTAAGATAAGTGAAATATGTGGATAATTTCTACAGAGGCTGTATAAAGTGCTAGTGGTTGTTAGTGTTGGTTCAGTCCATGTTATGATTGTGTGTATGAGGGTACAGTTGTCCATTTGTTTGTTTTTGTCCATTGTGTGTGTGTGTAGGTGGTTGTGGGTGTGTGTATGTTCAGTCCGTGAGTTTAATGTGAGTTCAGGAGTCTGACAGCTGTGGGGAAGAAGCTGTTCTGGTACCTGGTGGTCTTAGTCCGGAGGCTGTAGCACCTCCCAGAGGGCAGTAGGGTGAAGAGTCCGTGTGCTGAGTGACTGGAGTCTTTGATGATTTTCCCAGCCCTTTTCAGACACCGCTTCCTGTAGATGTCATTTATGGTGCTCCGGTGATGCGCTGGGCAGTTTTCACAACCCTCTGCAACGCCTTCCGGCCCAAAGCAGAGCAGTTCCCGTACCAGACTGTTATACAGGTGGTCAGGATGCTCTCGATGGTGCAGCGATAGAGGTTCACCAGGATGTCTGAGGACAGGTGGTTCTTCCTCCAAGTCCTCAGGAAGAAGAGGCGCTGGTGAGCCTTCTTGACCAGCTTGGAGCAGTTGGTCATCCAGATGAGATCCTCGGAGATGTGGACTCCCAGGAACTTGAAGCTGCTCACACGCTCCACAGCCGTCCCTTTAATGTAGATGGGTGGATGTGGGTCAGCAAAATGGTATCCCTGAAACCTTTAACATTGCCTTTTATCTTATTTAATTCTTGTTTATCTTTCTCATTCTTCCTCTCCATCAGACCTGGGTGCAGCATGCCAGAGATCTGGGATATTGAGGACCCCCAAAATGTTGGTAAAACCCCCCTCTGCACCCATATTTCCAGGAACTCTCGACCCCACTTTACCACAGTCTTTTCCAATGACATTTACAAAGTTCTCAAAGTCCCCAAAGCCACCAAAGATCTCAGATAACATCGCTGGACACACTGGCTCAACACCAAACTGTTTGTTGCGTCACTTCTTTGTCGTGCATTTTTTGGTCACTCACTGCCGTTGCTGCTTTTTACTTCCCAAAAACCCCGGTTCCATATTTCTTTTGTTACTCTGATTCACCAAACGGTGGCTCAAAAACAGGTTGGACATAACAAACAAGTATGCCATGAGTCTAAAACCTCTTGGTGGCATCACAGCTCTCAGTATTTTTTAATTCAGTCTCTTTCCAGACTAGCTATTGCTGCGTTGTTGTCACTAGTGATGTTCATTATATGAAAGCCAGGCGGTGGTGGTTGTAGCTCTCCATTTAGCTTCCTGGCATTGGTCTTGTTACGTATATTCCTTATTTTAAGGGATGCTCTACTTACATTTGTATAGTGTTTTTCTTACTGTGTAGACCCGATTTTGACTTTCACTTCAGAAGTAAACTTTTGTCTGGCAAGACCAATCAGTGATGTCCACATACTGTGAAGCAATACCCTCTGCAAACCTGGCAAAAGCTGACTTCTTCTATTGTTATGCACAGTGTTGATGTATGAAACGATTTTTCAGTAGTACACTATTTTTATAATTTATTGGTGTCACCGTTTTTATGCAACTTTAAAAGTGTTGAAACATTTTATTTTCAAGCAAGCAGTGTTTTGAGACTTTTGGGAGTCTAGGAAGAAAATAATGTTCTTGTGTTTTAAAATGTACATAACATTGATGTCTATGTGAACTGAATTCACTCAGAAAACATTTTAGCTTAATTGGGAGCAGAGCTTTTGTTGTTGCTTCAGTAATAGTTAGTTTATTGTATAATTTTTATGTCCGAGAAGGTAACGAAAACATCGATTTCTTTGAGTCTTTTTTTTTTGTAAATACTGACTACGTTGTTTTGTAAACTGCTGATGGCCTTTAAAATGTTCTTTGTGCTTCTTGAATTATTGTTTGTTGCCAAAGGAAGTTTTATTATCAAAGCTGCATATTCAGGGTACTGTAGCATATGAAAAATTCATTTTTATGTGACAGCCAATCAGTTATTCGTAGCAGTAAATTTTATGGTAATGGTAGCAGTCGCCGGTTCCTTTGTCGGACCACATTAAAAACATGCCTCATTTGATTTATGCCATTACTTGAGAATAACAATGCCCCTGTCATGTCTGTTTAATAAATATGTAGCTATAGCCAGAAGTGGATCAGCTTGGCTTATTTTGGCAAAAGGACTGGAAAATGGGGAAAAGAGCTTAACTGGCTCCTTTAGAGAGTTATAGGAAAAAAACATAACAGGTCATAGTGTGATAACTTGAAAACGAGGTGACGTAGGTTTTTGAAATTGATACCATAAGTGCGTCTACTAACAACTGCGGGCGACCTCGTCGTCAAGGTCAGAGGTCAGGTTTTCTGAAAATCTTGTAACAGGATGACTCCAGATGGAAGTCCAATTGATTTTCAAATTGATGGCATAGGTGCATTTATTAAAAATCTGAAACGAAAACTCTGAATCCCTTTTAGGGAAGAAGTTTGGTGACCTTGGTCTCAAAGTCAAGCTCAGAGGTGAATCTTGGGAACATGACACTCAATTCATATTGTAGGTCTGTCTGCTAAAAATCTCAGACGAGTTTGAATCCCAGTGACTTCGAACTCAAGGTCAGCTTTCTAAAAACCACCTAGGCCATGAATTACTTGTTTAAATAAACCTGAATCTTCACGTCTAAAAGTCGATGGCTTGATCAACAGCTGATGGCTCAAGTTACATTAATATTTTCACAATTTACAATAAAGAACTAAGATTTTGCTCATTCCCTCAAAATACAGCTGTACATAGTTTAACCGTTCAGCTTCAGCCGCCTACAAACAGTGAAGCTTGTCCTGCATTTCTGATTGTCTGTGGTGTCAGGAACGAACCTCAGAGACCATTCTCGTAGGATTTTTACATTGCAAAGCAAATTTCTCATCAAAGTTGAAATATTTTAATTTGGGTAAACATGGATTTGCCTGTAATGCTGCAGTTTTCCCTATTTCAGAGATTTGGTTGATTTATTTGTCTTAATAATAATCAGATTCAATAAACCCTTGAAGTCAGTTTTATGCCTGTTAAGATTCATAAGTGCCATGACTCCTGGTAAAGGAGTTTTTTAATCTTTTCAGACTTGTATCCCTCTGTATAATCTATGAATCTCTGAGCTTCTTTACTGATGTGTAATTAATATTAAAATGACAGTAAAAACCGGCACAGTACACTTTCGTACACTTGTGTTTTACACCCTGCAGCACCACAACTCACCGTGGTGCACGACCTGCAGAAACAGCTGTTTGTCGCACTGTGCTGCTCTTAGGTGGTGTGATGAAAATGTTTTCCTACAAAATCACAATTCCATGTTCAAGTTTCGTTTGTTTGCTTGTTTTTCCTCCCAGTCCTTGTGCTAAGGTGAGACACAAACTTGTTGGCTATAGCTTAATATTTGGTATACAGACATGTGGTGAGTGTGGCTCTTTTATAAATGTAAAACTATTCCTGTGAGAGGAGTGAACCACCTTCACCAACAGGAGTAACTCAACCGTCACCACTCAGGTGTTTTTTCTATTGCCACTTTTCTTCATAAGATATTTCCTCCAGTCATTTATAAAAATGTATCAATGATTGTTTTAGTTTATATAAAAAAAAGCTGATTTTGTTTGATTTCTTGACAGATTAAAGATGTGTCTTGGGGTGAATAATTTACCTGACTTTGGAATCAGGAATAAGATAAGATTTTTTTTGTTGAAAACTGTTATCTTCACGGTTGGAAAAAGTCGTTTCTGTGATGTGAATAAATGTGGCGAATTAATGTCTGAAGATTTTAATGGTGTACAAGCGAGCTTGCAAGTGCCCGGTTTTAAGCAACTGTGCCATTGTCACACTTTCCCAGACACTTTGACAAAATCACTCTCTGGCCTCGTTGTGTTTCTGATGTTTTTTCTATTTGTCTATATTTTCTGTATTTAAAAAAAATAAAATATTTGGAGTGAGCACCATTGCTTTGTCTTAAATGTAGATGTGAAAAGCACAAATCAAGCATTTATTTGAATTTTTAAAAAGATTGTTTATTGATTTATTTGAATCTGGTGTATTTTCCATTTATTTTTTTGTTGGCTGTATTCGTCATGCTTTCTTTGCGCTCTGCACTGCCTTTGTAGACATTCAAGAGTCGCATCAAATATGTCCTGACAGCATTGGGAGAAACTCGCCCACTGACCTGCTCACAACACCTGTTTGGTTGTAATGGTGAGGCTGAATGTCTCGTGAGTAACTGCCTTTAGCTAACTGTTCTTTAGCTGTTGTTTACACAAAGTCAGTGTGTGATGCTCAGATTGGAATACAGGTCTCTCTTTATTAGCCTTCTGATTCTATTCTGATAAATTGGCACTGTGTCCCCTGCCTATGATGGCCTACCCCAGTTGTCATAGAGTGATGGATTTCTTTTGATTTGTTAAAATTCCGTAAGTGAAATAATTTTTCCACCTAATCCAGGACAGAACCATAAACCTCCACTTCGCACAGACTCAGATATTCCTCTCTTCCTGGGATGACAACGTTAACGTAGCGGCCATCCATCCCGTTGCATTGGAACTCTTGAATGCCGCCTGCAGGGATACTTGTGATCACAGCACACCTGGCAAAGGAAGCAGAAATCACTTGATTAACCTGGATACTTTCACCACGTCTCTGATGTAATGGTTTTGAATAATGCTGGGTTCTTCAGATTTCTGAAGAACTGTATTTATTTACTGTATTTTTACTGTATTTTACTGTATTTATTCTTATTGTATCCTAATTTTTGCCTCATAACTTTTGCACTGTCCACTTCCTGCTGTGACAAAACAAATTTCCCACGTGTGGGACTAATAAAGGTTGTCTTATCTTATCTTTCACTTAGAGCTGCACAAGGAGCCGACCATGAAGGAGAAAGCTGGCAAGTTTAATCTATTAATGTTTTTGCTTAATGGTTGGAGTCACAGAGTGTATTGATTAATGTACTGCTGCTGCCATCAGGACAGTAAAAGACAAAAATCCCAACTGAGGTCCAATTTGATAATGCTTTAAATTATGCTAAATTATAATGCTTTCAGTTTTTATTCTGTAAAGTACCTGGGATTGCTGTTGCCATTGTTGTCAAGAGAGTCTCCAATGCGAATCTCAGCCCTGTTGAGTCGTTCTGGGTCAGAATCAGAGTTGACTATCTTAACAGAAAACACTTTGTGTGTTTTGCGCAGGTCAAGTCGCCACCAGGGGATGTTGTCATAGCTTGTTTGAGTGCAGGATCCTTTTTCTGGGTTGCTGTTACGATTTCCATCTATGGCGTTATATGCAAGCCCTAAGGTCTGCACTGATGACTGCGTGGCTTTTCCTTGGAGTGCAAGGTTCTCTCCTGCAAAATATGGTTGAGGGATTTGTTCTCATCACAGACACATCAAGACAGTTTACTTGAATGGATGAGATGATCAATGCAGAGACCTTTAAACAAGCTCTCACAACTTTTGTTTTTTTGGGGGGGGGTTTTGTGGAGCGAACTGAAATTTTAAAAACTGTGCCGTACTTGTTTTTTTTTAAATTTTTTCTCAACAGTTTAATGGTTACACTTTTTGGCATCTTCCTGGAAGAGAGCTGCTCGCTTCCTCGGTTTTCCAGAGTGCAGTTCAGCAGTGACTATAGTGGCTTGCAAAAGTATTCGGCCCCCTTGAACTTTCCCACATTTTGTCACATTACAGCCACAAACATGAATCAATTTTATTGGAATTCCACGTGAAAGACCAACACAAAGTGGTGCACACGTGAGAAGTGGAACGAAAATCATACATGATTCCAAACATTTTTTACAAATAAATAACTGAAAAGTGGGGTGTCAGTCAGCTGCCCATAGACATTGCCTGATGAGTGCTAATGACTAAATAGAGTGCACCTGTGTGTAATCTAATGTCAGTACAAATACAGCTGCTCTGTGACGGCCTCAGAGGTTGTCTAAGAGAATATTGGGAGCAACAACACCATGAAGTCCAAAGAACACACCAGACAGGTCAGGGATAAAGTTATTGAGAAATTTAAAGCAGGCTTAGGCTACAAAAAGATTTCCCAAGCCTTGAACATCCCACGGAGCACTGTTCAAGCGATCATTCAGAAATGGAAGGAGTATGGCACAACTGTAAACCTACCAAGACAAGGCCGTCCACCTAAACTCACAGGCCGAACAAGGAGAGCGCTGATCAGAAATGCAGCCAAGAGGCCCATGGTGACTCTGGACGAGCTGCAGAGATCTACAGCTCAGGTGGGGGAATCTGTCCATAGGACAACTATTAGTCGTGCACTGCACAAAGTTCTGGGGGTGCTTCTCTTCAGCAGGGACAGGGAAGCTGGTCAGAGTTGATGGGAAGATGGATGGAGCCAAATACAGGGCAATCTTGGAAGAAAACCTCTTGGAGTCTGCAAAAGACTTGAGACTGGGGCGGAGGTTCACCTTCCAGCAGGACAACGACCCTAAACATAAAGCCAGGGCAACAATGGAATGGCTTAAAACAAAACATATCCATGTGTTAGAATGGCCCAGTCAAAGTCCAGATCTAAATCCAATCGAGAATTTGTGGCAAGATCTGAAAACTGCTGAAGAAGAATGGGCAAGAATTTCAGTCTCTAGATGTGCAAAGCTGGTAGAGACATACCCTAAAAGACTGGCAGCTGTAATTGCAGCAAAAGGTGGTTCTACAAAGTATTGCTCAGGGGGCTGAATAATTACGCACACCCCACTTTTCAGTTATTTGCAAAAAATGTTTGGAATCGTGTATGATTTTTCGTTCCACTTCTCACGTGTACACAACTTTGTTGGTCTTTCACGTGGAATTCCAATAAAACTGATTCATGTTTGTGGCTGTAATGTGACAAAATGTGGAAAAGTTCAAGGGGGCCGAATACTTTTGCAAGCCACTGTATCTGCATATATAAATTATCTAATTGGGTTAGGGTTAGGGTTCAAAATAGGGTTGATTGATCAGTGCCATTTTTCTGCTTTAAGTGAAAGTGGTTTGTTGGACCTGGCTGGATCTATTCTGGTGTATTTGGTAACGTTATTTGTAGGTTAATGGAAACTTGGTAGTGGTTCGATGCAACTTGATTTGTCCAAGTTATCTTCTGTTTAGCGGCCAACCGCGGAGCTTTGTATTTTTGTTTCAAATTATGGTTTAGTTTTTCTTTTCTTTCTAGCAATAGTGGGGCTTTCTGTTTATTGTTTTAGTCCCTGATGTCAGTTTGCTTCTTTTCATGTTGTTCCCATACCATTACGTTAATGGTATAAATTAATTACTGATATTTAAATATCTGTCTTGTTTGTGGTATGGTCTGCTGGCACTTTAGGGGACTCATGGAGTGTGTAACACAGATGTTTTTTGGGTGGTGAAGAAAAATTACATTTGTGAAAGACTTAAGTCTCTTTTTTTTTTTTCTCTCTCTCTCAAACTATTCACATTTGTTTATGCCACTTCACAGAGAACTCATGGAGTGCAGACTGATGCTGGATTTCTGACTAGGCTAATGACTCCTGGAAAAATGGAGGACTCTTTATAAAAAAGGTTGTAATTCATAAACATTTAATGTAATACTTTTGATAAAACTCTTAAGATGAAAGTCTGTACTTCAGTCACATCTTATTTGAGATAGATTAGTGGTAAAGTCAAAATTACAAAAAAGTATGGTGAGAAAGAAAAGGGTGTTGTTTAATTTCTTACCAGTTGGGGCATGATACCCATAAACCTCCACTTCACAGAGTGTAAGAATTCTGTTTGAACCTGGTAAAAGCACAGTGACATAACGTCCCTCCACACGATTACTGAAAGTTATGGTGTGTGAGCTCCCTGCAGGAATTGAAGAAATTATAGCAACCCTAAAAGAGAGGAAGAAGCCTGTAGTCTCAAGTCTTTCTATTATACAGAAAAGTTTCAGATAAATACTGAATACACTGGAAATTATCAGTGACTCACTGTGGGTTTGCAGCGCCATTGTCTTGTAAATTGTTGCCAATATGAATCTCTGCTCCATTGATCCTTTCTTCGCAACAGTCTTCTCGATTGGTGATGATCATGGAGGTGATTATATAGGACTCCAGCAAGTCTACTCTCCACCAGGGGTTTGCCTCTGTTGCAGTGTGACTGCATGATCCATAATTAAAGCGAGATTTACGGTTTCCATCGATAGCATTACCCGCTGCTGCAAATCCATCCCACTCTCCCGGGGCGATTAGACGTGACTGCGTGGCTTTTCCACGTAAAGCCACATTTTCTGTAAAAGATGTAAACATGTTTTCATCAGCTTTGTTTTTTCCTTTGGAGGAATTGATATCATCCAAAAACCTGTGTGTTCAATCAACGATCATTAGCTTGACATGAAAGTTGAGCCTTTAGGGTTCCAAGTAGTAACAACACACATGACTTTCTCGATCAGTTCATTTTGGTTATTGCTTAGCTTTTGGGCATCATCTTCAAGAGGTTAATATTTTGTTGTTGTTTTTTTACAGATTTGACTTAACACGTATTGGATGGAACGCCATGAAATTTGCACAATCAATACATGTCATTAACTTTGGTGATCTTTTTTTTTATACAGTTAGGATGTCCACTTTTATTTTTTTAATTCTACTATGATTGGATCAGCATGCCATTTTTATGTACATTCACATTTGTTTTACAGTTAAAAATAATACTACTGCATCTAGTGATCTTTTATAATTGATCCTAATGTGCTGGTATTTGTACATCGTACTTACGGTAAGTGAAGACTGAGGACATCTGCACAAAGAGGAGCAAAAGAGATGCTCTACTGAAGCTCATAATTCTGGTTGATACAAAGAAGATAAAAAAAGATTTAGGTTAGGTAATTTAGGTTTTTCCAAATGTGCAGGTACTGGAGTACAAAAACTGAATACATGCTCAGTCAAGTGCAAATCTGTCAAAAAGTTCCTTAATACAGTGAATTGTTGAAAAATGTAAGATGACTGAAATAAAAATGTTAATTCTTACCCTGAATTTGTTCACGTAATCAAAAAAGAGTCAACTCTCAGGCAAGGCAAAGCTTATCATTACTATTTACTTTAAATGCCATATTCAGCATGGACACTGTCCAGTCACATTACATTACAGAGTTTACTCCCACCACTTATCAGCTTTGGACACCTTGAAATGTTTTGACAATGTTTATATAATGCACTTTTGTGTTTAATATTACTATTTGACTTCATTTTCCTGAGTGGATCATTACGGTTTTGCCATACTGCTCCACTTGATTGAGCTTTATTACTAATTTATTTTTTACTTTTAAATTATTACAATTGGAAGAGACATGACCGAGGGATAGGAAAGGGAAAGATGTAGACAAGAGAAGTTCAAAAAAAGAAGAGGGACTGTGAGGAAAGACACTAAAAATCTACTAGATCACCTGCTGGGGAAAAAAAAAAAAAGGAAAACAAGCATCCTGGCAGAAGTAACAGAAAATGATTTATTCTTGGTCAGAACCAATGACTAGTAAATAGTCATCTGTGGAACAAACAACTTCTTCATTGAGATCAAGGAGTCGACTCTCAGTCAAATCTCTGGAGGAGTCGTCGGTCATTTTAAGTCACATTAGTCATCAACACCCTCCAGTCATATCAAATGATAGTCTTGCAAACATGTTACAGAGCATTAATGCACATTCAGGTCTCACAGTGCTATTTGACTGGAAATTACTGAGTTAAGTCTTTTGTCTTTTTACATCTCTTTTGTCTTCCACAATTTAAACACATCATCATCAAAAGACAGATATTAGTTGTGTTGTACACAGTAACAATATTTCCAGTTGTCATTGTGATGTTGTACAGTTACACCTTTTTCTACAGGTTATGTTTTTTTGGTTTTCCATATAATTCAAAAAGTCAGCATTTTGTTGATTACTGAACTTTGTACTTAACAGTTGAGTCAACATGAAAGCCTATCAAAATATTTGCATGTCGTTACCTCACTCTGTGCTTGGGTAAGTATTACACAGTTCAGTGTCACCACATGAATGGACTGTAACGATGCTCTCAATAACTATAACTTTAAAAATAAAAATTCTAAAATATAATAATAAAAATAAATATAGCATAAAACCACCAGTCCCTTTTTTTTTTTATCAAACATTAAAATGTTGTATAACTCATACTGGTCAGCTAGCACAGAAACATGGAAGCACTTTGACATTCTAGTATTAAACGTCTAAATGAAATTATGTTAAATTTCTCCCCACACCTTTTAAATACAGCACATAATAAAAAAAAAATAAAAACAGCAGTTATTATTTTTAAAATGTGGAAAATTGTCTAAATGACAAATAAATAATAAAATGAAAAGAGAGGTTTTAAATGGTTTTATTGTATTTCAATAATCATTACATACAGCTTTTTCTTTCTTCAGCAGGTACAATGAAAATCCATCAATTGCTTATGGTAGGAAACTATAAGCAAACATCTATCACAATGTGCAGGTTGTATACATGTTTATCTGATTGTGCTCTTATATTGTCTGTATTTATCTTACAAAGTATTTTCAGTCCTCTATCCTAAAGTCTCATCATGCAGTCACAGAAAAACTTAAAATGAGCTGTGTGGGAATTCAGTTATAGATAGATAGATAGATAGATAGATAGATAGATAGATGAGTGATTAGCAAGTGACAGATGAGTTTTGGTTCATATGATCATGTGTAAAAGTTGAATGTTATGAACCTAATCAAGTTTAGATCCATACACTTCAACTTCACACAGACTAAGGAACTCTTCTCGGGCCGGGATGACAATGTTCACATAGCGGCCGTCCATTCCATTGCATGTGAAATTGGCAACAGCACCTCCCGCGATGTTTGTGATCACTGCACACCTGGCAGATGAAACAAAAAGGTTAGCAAGTTTTGTATTTTAAAAAATGTCTTAAATTAAAAAAAACACAGGGATTTTGAGAGCTATATACACTTTTCAGTTCAGGTTTGTTGGAGGACTACACATGCATGTTTTTGTGTTTTGTTTTGGGTAGTTTCTACATTTGGGTAGAGCTAAAATAGTAAAACAAGTCTACACCACCATTCTCATCATGGCAATTAAAATTATATTATAAAAGGAATTTCTGCCATTTGTGAGACTGAACGGCTTTTCTGTTGTTTCCACAAAGTCTGTGAAACTGGCATCGGTACTGGGAGCAACTTGCCAGGTGTTTTTACAGATTTTAACAGACTTCAAAAGTCAACAGTCTTTAAACTACCTGGGGTTGTTGTTGCCATTGTTGTCAAGGGAATCTCCAATGCGAATCTCAGCTCCGTTGAGCCGTTCGGGGTTGGAGTCAATGTTGACAATTTTAACAGAAAACACTTTATGGGTTTTGCGCAAATTAAGACGCCACCAGGGGCTGATGTTGTTGTTTGTGTGAGTGCAGGAGCCCTCTTCCCACTTGCTGTTACGATTTCCATCGATGGCATTGTATGCAAATCCAAATCCATACAACGATGACTGTGTGGCTTTTCCTTCAAGTGCAAGATTGTCTCCTGCAAAAGGAATAAACTGATAAAAATAACTGTCAACATCTGCATGTGTTTGCTGTTAACAGTTACAGTTAGTCTTGAAGAAATGCATGCCATTTGATTGACTTTTTCAATGTATTATTTCTTTTCTGTTCCAAGGTTAAGTATTTGAGATCAATTCCCAATGATCAGGTGATCCCCTATAATAGCACTTGGTAATGGTGAAAGGAAGAACTTCTTTTTAACAGGACCTCCAGCAGAACTAGACTGCAGTGCAGGTGCAGTGATTTGCTCTTCTTGGTGTGGTGAGCACCAAAACACAAAAAAGAACAGCATATAGAGACTATGATTAATAAAGAGGACAAAGCACTAACTGTGTTAGAGATAATATCAAAGTCACACGCTGAGCATGCATGTTTTCATACTACCTGATAGGGAAAAATATGCCAACAGTGGGAGTTTCAGACAAGCGAGGGAATGAGACTCCCTGTCGTTTGGGTTTCACAAGGAGGTCGAGCAAAATGCAGTAATTTGCAAAACATGCTGTAAAAACTTTTGCCGCAAAAGGCTGTAGTACCATGAATTTATTCCACCAGCTGAAAAGTCATCCACTACAAAAAGACTGTTTTAAACTCCGCATGTCAACGTCTCCCCACACCCAAGAAAACATGAACCAGCTGTGATACCTGTGGCTGTTCTTGGTCAGTCATTTCATAGTCACTATCTAGACTTTTGTTTCTGTAATTTGAGGTGATCACATTTTTGAAAATAAGATTTGTTTTTGAGGTTATTTAAGCATATAGTGATGTTTTATTTTCCTCATATCTCCTAGCCCAAATCCCCAGCAGCCTGAGTGTAGACCAGCTTGATACCTGGGTTTCATACCCCAGGGCTCTTTCTATTTTACCTTTGTAATGTCAAGGAAGATGTGATTTCGTGAGGACCCAAACGCAGACCACAGAGAGACAAAACTATAACAATTTATAACTATAACTATAACAGTTTATTAAGGAAGATGATAAGAACAGGTACTGAAGCAGATAATAAAAATAGAAAAGAAAAACTGGCTGTGGAAAACTAAACTGGGAAAACTGAAAAGTACAAGAAAACCCCAAATAAACCTCTCGGAGAATGTAACCCAACTTACAAATACTCCAAAACTGAAATAAGCCCACACTTGGAGATGAAAGTGCTCTAAGATGTGATGGGGTCTGATCATTCCAGACTTCGTTCGTGAGAAGATTGTTAATTCAATCTTGAATTTAACAGGAAACCAATGATGAGAAGTTAATATAGAAAAATATCGTCTCTCTTTTGAGTCCCTTTTTGAGTACTAGTGTTTTGGATCAACTGAAGACTCTTCAGGGATCTTTTAGAACAATTTGATAATAAGTAATTGGAATACTAAAAAGTATGGACTGGTTTTCAACATCTTTCTGAGACTAAATGTTTCTAATTTTACCAATACTGTGCAGATGACAGAACGTAGTCTTACATATTTGTTTAATATGCACATTTATGAACATATCCTGGTCAAAAATGACTTAAATATACATCAGTGTTACTGGAGACAAAAGTAATACAGTCCACAGTAAGCACCTGGTTAGGCAACATGTTTATAAACTTCCGGCCGAGAACAATATTACAGATCATTCAGCGCAGTATGTCTATTGGATATAACTTAACAAATTCATTTTGTTATCTGGGTTCTAGATAAATATAATTGGGTGTCATCTGCATAGCAGTGAAAATGTATGTTATCTATTCCAACAATATTACCTAAGACAATTTTTTCTTTCTTAAACTAATAAGACTAGCATCACTGGGATTCCTACAAATTTGGCTGTAAGGCTGCATACTGTCCACATTTATGTAATAGCTCATATTCTTACCAGTTGGAGAACGGTATCCATAGACTTCCACTTCACAGAGTGTGAGAATCTTTCTTGAACCAGGCAGAGTCAATATAACATAGCGCCCCTCTGCTCGATCAGTGAAAGTCACACTGAAGGATATGCCAGCACCAACTTCAGAAATTTCACCAACCCTAACAAAAAGTGTGTGAGAGAGAAATATAGGATATATAGCTTTAGTGTCCTTGTGTGTAGCTTACCAGGGTAACATATTAGAACATGTGATTGTCAGTAATACAGTTGGTTCCATAAGTTGTTGGACATTTTGTAGGTTTTTAAATCAAATGATATGCAGCTTTCAGCTTTGGTTCAATGGATTTAAGATTAAAATTACATCGTTGTTTAGGAATTACATCTGTCTTAATACATATATTATCACAGGCTAAAAATTAATTGGACAAACTAACATAATTTTAAAAGTAAGGATTGTTTTTAACCCCTTACAATGAACAACTGCTTGACGTCTACAACCCATGGACATCAACAAGTGCTGTTTAGTTGCTTGAGATGTTCTGCTAGGCCTTTACTGCAGCTACCTTCAGTTGCTGCTTGTTTCTGGGTCTATCTGCCTTCAGTTTTTCACTGTCCATTTGGACAGTGTCCAGTAAGTTTTACAGTATTTAGCTGAATCTGACGAGTTCTGCAGTTCTGTACCCTGTATGCCTCAAGATTCATCCAGCTGCTTCAAATGGCAGTAACATCTTCAAACACTCTCAGTCATACACTGCCTATACCATCAGATTGCCTCCAGTATATTTTCAGATAATATGGTTTTCGGTCTTATATTTAAAATTACTACAAAAAGCCTCAGGGAGTCTCGGGGAACAGGCCTAACCTGGCCATAAAACTGCATGCCAAGCTTTAACTTATGAGACTTTGAAAATGTGTGTTTAAAAATCGTTATAATTCATATACACTTATTCCCTTAAAGTAAATCTGGAAGTTTTAACTTCATTGACATATCAATTAGCTGTTTTAAATCAATTCCAAAATTGGTTTGACTGACACAAAAATTGTGTCAATCCAACAAATTGTGGGCCAAACTTTAGAGCAAATCAGACTTTTGCTCAGATGTATTTTTAAGTAGTGGTATATCTGTAGCAAGCAGCCGGAAGTTATAGAGCAAAAATGATGGCAAATGAAGTAACAGATGTTGAGCCTTCAAAACTGTTAACTGTCCGCTTTCAGACTATCAATATTTGATTTAACTATAACCACATGTCCAGAGATATAAACCCTTTTCTCAAAACTGACAAACAAAGGAACAACCTCTACTGCTATCACTGATCCAGTTTGAAAGACAGAGGTAAGCCAAGATCGCTAACACCAAGAGAAACAGAAAAAGGCTAAATAAAAGATAAAAAATCTCTCTGTATAAATTGATGGTATTTTTTTCTTTATTTGTACTAACTTTGGGTTTCCTAAACCTTCGTTGTTCAAAGAGTTGCCTATGTGGATCTTTAGCCCGTTGAGCCTTTCATGACAGCAGTCTCCTCTGTTGGTGATGGTGACAGAAGTGATGATGTAGGACTGAAGCAGGTCCACTCTCCACCAGGGACGGTTCTGTGCACTAGTGAGCGTGCACGATCCCGCCCTGAAGTCAGAGTTACGGTTTCCATCAATTGCATTGTGGGCAGCTGAGAGGACGTGGTCCTCAGAGATCGACTGGGCTGCTGTACCACGCAAGGCCACATTTTCTGTGAATTAGGGAGTCACAGAAATAAGATAAAATAATAGGAAAGACATTCAAACAGACAGCAAAACTGCCCAAGCATCTAAGTTGTTGCACATGAGTTATGAGGTATTTATTTATGTGACCTAATTTCTACTGGAATTAATAAAGTATTATAATTATTTCCTTTCTGAGTTAGCTTATGCAGATTTGTTTTGTAGTATGACCTTCAGAAAGGTCAGTCTAGCTTTTACAGCAGGACAACAAAAACCGCAAACTTTTATGCAGAACACAATTCTAAAAACCAAAATATACTGTATATGAATTACTTATAGGCACTTGCTGCCAGAGTTGTGAAAGTCCAAAACTAGTCGTCTTGGAGAAAATAACACCAATACTTTAAGCAGTCCAGACAGTCAAATTATGAATATACATTATTTGATATTATAATGTATTTTGAACAAGCATGTCAGTATAATTATTTTACAAGACTCCTACAAACAGACCACTCTGAATGTGTCAGTAAATAATATTCTGTTTTCCTCTACGCATGCAGTTAGTTTGTTGATTTGCAAAGTTTTCAGTTGAGTCGTTTGCAATAGCGTAACCCTTCTGTGGATTAAATCTGCATGTAGTCTGATTTCTCATAGTTTCCATGGATTTCTGATTTCATTTTTCACTCCTGTATCAGAATGCATAAATTCCTTTCCCATTGCCTGTCTTTTTTACTGGCGATTAAAAACATACAGAAAATACCTGTACTTTGTACTTTGCTATATTATAGAAATAAACTGTCTGCACCAGCATTTTTCACACATTAGTAGATCATCTGCACAACTTTCCAATAATCTCATAGGTGATTTTTTGTTTGTCATTATGGCCTCATGTTAATTAGCATTATGTAAATCTTTGACTTATGTGATAACCCCCACTTAAGCATTTGTGGATTTTTAAATCAGGAGTATTATCTCTTGGCAGCAGGCATTTTCATAGCTACTGAGGCAAGGACTGTTGCTAAAGGACATCTTTGTATGATGCTGATATGCCATTTTTAACATTTAAGACATTACTCTCATGTCACACTTACGATAAGTGGAAGTCGAACTCGTTCTTAAGAGGAGCAGCAGAAGGAAAACACTTGTTTTCATTATTCTGGTTAAGAAAGATGATATCTGTTGAGAACAAACAATATTTAGTCCTTTCTAGTTCCTAGTTATTAGTTATTACTGTAAGTATATTCCATTAGGACTCTTTCTTCAGAAATAAGCTAAGTCTATCTCTTTTTTTCCCTGTGGAATCTGGTCAGTGAGAGTCAAAGGCTTTAAAACAATATTTTTCCAGGTTCCTTCCTTAAATGGTGAGAAGCAATATGCACAATTTGTAGACTCTGAAGAAATACTAGAAGTAAAGTCTCTAGCAGACACCATTTATTTGTTAAATCAGGTGAATCACTGAAAAGTGATCTTACAATTGAGTTCCTCTTTTCGTCTGTAACAGATTCAATTCAATTCAATTCAATTTTTCTTTATTGTCCCACAAGGGGAAATTAGTTTAGCAGCAGGAGGATAAGAACAACAGAACAATACTATAAAACAATAATAACAATAATAATGATAGAAAATTCAAGGACAATTATTTGCCATTAAGGAGACAAGACGCAGTAGGGATAAAAGAGACGGTCATTTCTAACTGTGCTTTTCATAAATAAAAGAAAGAAAAGTGTTACCTGAGAATCGGGACAAAGCAGTTGCCTTTTTCCTGAAACAAAAGCTGCTATTAATTATATTTCTGTTTGTTTTTATCAATGCATCTCATCTCTCAGCTGAATCACACCAAACCAAACATTAAAATTTATCTCATATTCCTCTTCAACTCTGTCTATTCACGACCCAGTGGTTTGTTCCCAGGCATCTGTGTTCCACTTTCAGTCATGACCTAACTTTCTAACACAGTAATGCAGATTTTTTTTTTTTTTACTGATTATTTTGCAACATCCTTGTTCTTGTACTTGCGTCACACACTGTTGTTCAAAAGTTTGGGATCGCCTCGAGCTTTCAGAAAACAGATAAAGGTTCCAGGGCACCAATAACTGTTTCTGTTTTTCTACATAATGAAAACATTTTCCATTGAAACAATGAAATAATGCTCAAAAATGTTCACTCAATAGAGGGGTCTGTGCCTGAGGTTATTTTCCAAAAAAATCTAAACACACATATTTTCCATGACAGGATCCAGAGCATGTTTTGCAATTTCAATGAGGAAAATCTACAGGATTTATGGACTTCATGTGCCAGTTACTGGTAGACTTTGTTGCCCCTCTCATGTGTACTGACATCATTGATTCCAGTATTGGGCCCAGTATATTTGGAGTTGTACATGTGCTAGGCTTTGGCAACAGCAACAGTGTTTTTAATGAAAATGTGTGGATGTGGTTCTAGAGTGGGAATTAGAAATTATAGAAGAGAGCCGTCAATGATCAAAGTTCAGACTGAACTTAAATCAGATAAAAGTAGTTAAATATGTTAAGCAGCTGATAATGCAGCTTAAGCACAAATATGCAGAAGTACCAGAAAGGCCACAAACTTCTAGTGAAAAGTAAAAATGCCTAGCTGCACATTTTCACTTGCCCGGGTGTTTCAACATGACATATACTGTGACTTCTCCATTTTCCCAACTGAAACACATAAGCCAACAAATCTGCAGCAACTGTATGATGTTATTGTTTCAGTCATTTTCTTCTCCACCACACTCCCCTGCCACATGTGACAGGTTTTCTACTTCACTAAATTTATGAACCACCTCTGACGTCTTCTTCTTTTCCTCCTGCCTGGCAGGTTGAACATCCATTGCCCATTGCCCCGCTATCCTTCCTCTTCCTCATGCAGTACCACAGGTCCTCTCTTGGCACCCTATCATATTCTTACCCTACGTCCACAAAGACACAGTAAAGCTTCTTCTGATCTTGACTTCTCCATCAGCTCTCTCAAAACAAACAGCCCATCTATAGTGCTCTTTCTTGGAAGAAAACTATACTACTGCTTGCTGATCATCACCTCTCTTCTTAACTGAGCTTCAACAGCTCTTTCCCATATCTTCATGGCATGGCTCATGAAACTTATCCCTAGCGAAGAGGGTGATGTACAGCGCTGTGCTCTTGACAATCAGCACCAGCACACGTCTTTCCTGTTCCTCAGGCGTCCTCTCACGTTTCCAGATTGTGTTAAAGTTGTTTAAAAAGTCCACTGTCCATCTCCATACCTCCATACCTCTACAGTTATGTCATCTATCCATCATATCAGCCAGCTCTTTCCATCTTCCTGTATAAAGTCTCTATTGTCACACCCACACTCCTACCTTTCCTTCTCACTCACTTTCTGCAAAACCATCTTCCATCGTTCTTCTTACTTTTGTCTTTTGTCTATGGTCAACACTACCAAGTTTCCACTGCAACTCTGTTGGCCAACAGCACCGGATGTGGTGGTTGTTAACCTGAGCCCAGTATGGTAATCCCATTCTTGATGATCCGCATTGAAATTTCAGCATAAAAAAAGGGGTCATGCTCAAGACTAAAGCTGATAAAATTAGACAGTACAACAAGAATTTTAAAATAATGTAATTTTTGCAGTGATTAAATTCAGACTTTTCTTGGAGCAGAGATTGTTACAGCATATGAAATGCTTATGATGAAACAAACAAAACATCCAACAAAAAGCAACAGCAGTAAGAATTGAGATGTCGAAAAATCAAATCTACTGTAATTACACACTAATGTCACGTACTAGAATATCACATTGTTTTACTTGAATCAACAGTCAGTAGACACAAACAACAAACATGTTTTACATAGAATCAAAGTAATTATTTTACTGTAACAGTTCTAATCTAGCATACATTTTTTCTTCTAAGTTTCCAAATACTTTTATAATGAATGATCCATAAGTGACTAATCAATGTTCTATTTATTAATCTACTGTTTTGATCTACGCAAGATGCAATAAATACCTAATTAAACATCTGCAGTGTGCAAGCTTCATGTTTGTTTTTCTGTTTTCTTAATCCAACCTAGAGCCGTACACTTCGACCTCACACAGACTCAGGAACTCTTCTCTGTCGGGAATGACAATATTAACATAGCGGCCTTCCGTTCCATTGCATGTGAACTTAGCAACAACATCTCCAGCGATGCTTGTGATCACAGCACACCTATCAGAGGAAACAGAAATTTAATTTGTTAATCCCAGTCAGGACAAATTATTTGTCCGTGGTGTTCTGGCTCACTGAACTCCACGGATGTCCTTTGAAGACTAACAAATCACATCACATCTCTACCCCAATGTATGCCATGCACACATGGCACAAGCTGCTTGTCAGTGACACATCACAGGGAGGTGAATCGCTGTCTGAATGCTGAATTAATGCTGTCTGTTAGTGCTGTGCAAAGTAATCTTCATAAGGAGTGGCACTGTTTGTGGTCCAAAAAATGTATATTCCTGACAGTCATAGTTTATAAGAATCAAACGTTCCCATGCAATTTATTAGGAAATGAATGCGGATCATTTTTGACCCACTTATGCATCTAGGGGTTAAGAAAATAAGTGCATGAATTACTTTTGTCAGCAATAAGACTGCAGTAGCTGTAAGATGTGTTGAAATGCAGCACGGGCATAGCTAAAACGGGCTACCTGGAGTTGTTGTTCCCGTTGTTGCGAAGGGAATCGCCAATGCGGATCTCGGCTCCATTGAGTCGTTCTGGAAGAGAATCTTGATTTACTATATTAATAGAAAACACTTTACGTGTTTTGAGCAGATCAAGTCGCCACCAGGGGCTCATTGATTTCTGTGTGAGAGTGCAGGAGGCATCTTCCCATTTGCTGTTACGATTTCCATCTATGGCATTAAATGCGTTGCCAAATGCATACAGTGAGGATTGTGTGGCTTTTCCTTGGAGTGCAAGATTCTCCTCTGAAAAAAGAACAAAAGAGTAACTGTGATGTTTGTTGCGTGTAGCAAATTATGATAAAGCAAAAAGTTGATTTTTTTTTCAAGTTCAAAGGAAAAAAAAAGTGATATTAACTCTTATCAACCTAAGATTTTGAGTTTATACCACAACTTGCTGATATATTGATTACTGTCCACATTAAATGATATAATAGCTCATATTCTCACCAGTTGGAGTAGGGTATCCATAGACTTCCACTTCGCAGAGTGTGAGGATCCTTCGTGAACCGGTCACAGTCAAAGTTACATACCGTCCCTCCACACGATTGGTAAAAGTCAGATCGAAGGATTTGCCCAAACGAATTCGAGAAATTCTACCAACCCTAACAGAAAATGTGAGAGTTAAATAGTTTACAGCAGCAGAGGTCAGGACATTTAATTTCCAGCATGGTAATACAACAAATCCAGGTCTACTCAAAAGTATATTGGATTTTTTTTACCCCATGAATCAAGTTGGGATGTATTTTTATAGTATTATTTGTGCCTTTAACTATCTGTAACAGACATTTTCCATATATATACATATTCATATACAAAAAAAACCTATAAATATAAAGATTGCTGTTTTTTGTTTGCTTGTCATTTTGTGTTGTTGGCTATAAATAAGCAGACTATCTTCTTATATCTTTAAAAGAAAAACCCCAAATAACCAAATATTGCAGAGATAAGATGAGAAAAATGCCGAGGAAAGAGTAAAAGAAAAACAAAAGAATGACAATATTGCTGATAATTTCGTATTTGTTTATATTTACACTGGGTTATCTAAACCGTCATTGACCAAAGAGTTGCCAATGTGGATCTCCAGCCCGTTGAGCCTTTCATGACAGCAGTCTCCTCTGTTAGTGACGGTGATGGAAGTGATGACGTAGGACTGAAGCAGGTCCACTTTCCACCAGGGATTGGTCTGTTCATTAGTGTGTGTGCACGACCCCGCCATAAAGTCAGAATTGCGGTTTCCATCGATTGCATTGAGGGCAGATGCCCTAGCATGCGGGTAACAGGTTGACTGAGTTGCTTTACCACGTGTAGCCAGATTTTCTGTGAATTAGACCGTTACAATGTATAAAAAAGATCAAATGAAAACAACAACAAAACGTTCCACTGCTATCACAGTTTTTATAATTGTTACCTCAGGCAAATTGGCTCTTGCACTCAATCTGGCAGAAAATAGTTTTTTAGTAGTTAAGTTTCAGCAAAGTAAAAAGCATCATTGAAACAAGCAAGTGTAAATTAAGTGAGTAAGACAACGCTCCAATCAGAATGTGCTCCACAGTCTCCCTGATGGTGTTGTATGTTGACATTGGAGACTGGTGACAGTTAACAGTATCTGATACATGATGAGAACATGTTGGCCAGGCCTCGTCGCAGCCCCTCCATTTATCTACTGATACTGCAGACTATTCCAGCTACCATAGGGTGAGAGGCGGGGTACACCATTGACAGGTTGCCAGCCTGTCACATGGCTAAGAAACAGAGACAGACAACAATTATGGGCAATTTAGAATCACCAATTAACTTAACCCCACAAACTGCATGCTACAGATGGATGGATGGATGTCATTACACAAAATCATAACTGACACACATCTCACACTGACTCTAACATCACACTTACGATAAGTAGAAGCCAAAGTCGTCCTCAGGAGGAGCAGCAAAATGAAAACACTCCGTTTCATCATTCTGGTTTCAAAAGAAACAGAAAATAAACTGTTAGGTATTTTATGTTTTCAACATCAGTTAAGAGAAGCTTTTGTGCAAAAACACACGTGAAAATCTTTGAATAAAACAACCTAAATAGCATTTTTCTGTGAGCACTGCTACTACTAAATATCTTTGCATGCTCCAATCCCCATTGGATGGTTGAAAGCTGCCAAAAAATATGCTGACGTGAATAAACTGTCGATTTAAGCTTCGATTCTTTTTTTAAGTAGATTGGCCTCTAAAAGCAATTGACAACAAAAAAAGTTTAACCAGAAATTCAAAATAGAAAAAGAAAAGTTCACAGCTGTAAATTGACGATGTAACAGTCTACATTCTATATTCAGACGGTGAGAAAAGAGAAATCTGCACACGGAGGTTTATGTCAAGAAAAGTTTGTATCAAGATTTTTTTTTTTTCAAGAAATAAAAAGTCTTACCTGAAGATCCGAACAAAGCAGATACTGTTTCCCTTGGGACTGTCAGTGAATCAGAAAAGCTGCTACTGATGATATTTCTTTTATCTTTTGTATGCATTTCTGCCTTTACCTCAGCAGAAAATATATCATATTCCTTCTCAACACTGTCTAATTAGTTCCCACTGGTTTGTGCCCCATGCACATCAGTTTCACTTCCATACTTGTGAATTATATTTCCAGCCAGGGTGCCAGAACACAGATGTTTTCCTGGTTATTTTGCAATATCCTGTTTGCAGTTATTACTCAAGATTTAATCATGCACTATTGCTCAAAAGTGTAGGATTACTTTGAATTGTTTTTGGAAGATAAGCACATTTTCTTTTCAGTTCTTTTTTGTTTGTTTGTTTAACCTTAAATTGATTAAAAAATGAATGTTGTAAGTGAACAATATTGATTAATATAATCTTTTCTCATATATCACCTTATTTTTTATTCAAATGGTCTTGAAGAGGTCCGTTTTTACCATGCTGAAGAAAAATCTATAAACCAGATTAAAATAACTGAATGAAATGAAAAAAACTGAGTAATTACTTGAATCAACTCTTATCTCCTGAACAGACAGATTATGCATCCTAACAGAAAGTATTTGTTGTATGCTCCCTAAAATGACACACGTTTCTTTTTTGACAGTGTGGAGTTCACCTTTCCTGGGTTTCAAAGCAAGTTACTTGATGTACAGACAGATCGGAGCTGTGGTGTCTCTCGTGATGAAGAGAAAGCTGAGCAAGAAGGTGAAAGTGTTTTGTGGCTAGTTTAATTCTAACCTCACCTGGGACTATCAACTTTGCATAGTGACCAAAAGAACAAGATACAAGCTGTAGAAAGGAACTTTTTCTGAAATCCTAAACCCATCCACCATCGATGCTGCCTTAACGTGTGTAGTGTTACCAAATATGAACAAATCAAGTAAAACTGCTCAGTGGTACTTTTTTACTTGCCTGGGTGTTAATATACAATATTAACAAATTACATATTTACAAGTAGACATTGAGGGCTAGCAGGAGGGACCATGCGCTTACCTGCTGCTCTCTGGCAGGTAGCTCCATGCCCTCCTGGGTTTTAAATGCACCTTAGAACACACATGCATCAACACTACAATGAGCGGGTGGAGGGAAGTTTGGAGTCTTCTCTCACCCCCATTCTCTGCGACCTGCTGGAGCAGGGGGGCTAGGAGGAGGAGTTGGCCGTCCGACTGCGGTCTGGAGTGTGGGGCCTCCCTGCTGCTGCGGAGTCGGGGCGGTCTGCCTCCCCCCACCCCAGGGAAAAGGGTAACACCACCTGGGTCTGGGTGCAGTTCCCCCCTCCAGGGGCAAGGGTACCTAGACCCGGTTTGTAGAGTACGCTTGGGAAGTGTGATCGTGTGTACAGCGTCTCTTTATGTCTGTCTCCACGTTGGTTGAGTGTGGAGTAAGTGCATATGAGAGCATGAGGGTGGGAATGGATGTTTGTATCTGTGTGTGCCTGTATGTCTGTGTCTATATGTCAGGTTGGGTATCAGACGCCACCTCTCTGGGGACATCTCAGGCCCTCCAAGGTTTGGAGGCCTATCTCCCCCTACCACCACTTCCCCTGCCAGTGGCGGACCCCCTCAGACATCGGTGCGTTGGTGGTTCTTTGTGTCCGGGGATGGGCGTCCAGGTACACACCGGCTCACTCCTTGGCGGCCGCTTATCGGGGCCTGGAGCCTGGGGCTTGCTCGGGCCCCTTCGGAGGTGGGGTGCCCCCGGCCTCTCGGCCTGGGGCTCGGTCACTCAGGCACGGCTGGCTGCCGGCGGAGCTCACGGGCGCGTCACTGCAACTCCCCCTGGATGAGTGAACCCTCATCTGGGACTCTCCTCAGCTCTTTCTGGGACAGTGGCGCGGCTGCCCCTCTGTTGGTCTTCCTTGGTCTCTTGTGTTCTGGGGGCCTCTGGATGTCTGGATTTTCTTTCTCAGCAGGTGATCCAGGTGATCGATATATGCATTTTTTTTTCTTCTGCTCATTCTGTTGGTTTTTGGTTTTTGCCCTTCTCCCCCGTCCCTCTTCTCAGCTGTTTCTCTTTCCCTCTTTCTTTCTCCCCTTCTTTCCCCCAGTCAAGTCTGTCCCGTATTCAGTAAGTGAAAATAAAATAAACAATAAAAGGTGAATCAAATGGACCATTACGGCAAGGCTGGGATGGTCAATTTGGTAAAGTAAATCCATTGGGCATCTTTCTTTGCCTTTAGACAACAATTCTGATGGCAAAAGAGCCAAACGGGACAGGCAAAAAAAAAAATAAAAAAAATAAAAAATTACATATTACAAATACTCAGTGACTTCTGTATCTTGGTGTCTGAAAACAGATAAACAGCTTGTGATTTAGTGATACTATTATATTTATATATGTGTGTGTGTGTGTGTGTGTGTGTGTGTGTGTGTGTGTGTGTGTGTGTGTGTGTGTGTGTGTGTGTGTGTGTGTCTGATCTCAGCCAGGTGATACACATTATGAACGTCATATAATCACATCATATCAATTTGACAGTGACATAGTTACATCTATTGTGCATTCAGTAATTTCACCAAAAATCAAAACAACTACAGAAACAATTCAAATGACAGCTATCCTACTGCAGTGATGTAGTTAACAAAGTTATTCTCTTAAATGGAGGCGTACTAGTTCCTAAGACTAAATATGTACTTAGTTTTTACAGAGACGAATATTAAATGTATCTATATTTTTTGCAGAATAGAAAAAAAAATTATTAACAAAATAAATTCACTTGTGATATTGTTTATTCATACCAAATTTATTAAAAGACGGGATCAAATGTTTAGTTGTCAAGAAAAATTGGAAAGTCATTTTTCTTATACTTTTTTTTTTCAGATGACTGTAAATTCTACAGTTCAGTCAGAACTGAGACGTTCTTTCATCAGTTCTCCTTTTCTCTGACAGAAAAAAACATGATTCATTTCAGTGAAGTTTCCACCGTTCACAAGGTCAGTAAAGACATTCTTAACAAATACATACATTGTGACATTATTATTGCGACATGTGACAATAAATGCATCATAAGCAGGCTGATGTTTGTTTTTCATTGTTGTCACAAAGTGCTGTTTTAACTAAAGAGTAATGGGAACATTTTTTAATATACAGTGTTATCTGTGTATATGTGCTAAGTAGTACTATTAAAGCTGATGTGTTTGCAGGACTCTTTGGTAAAATGTTACAATCACTGAACACTTATACTGTATCGTGGATAACAAAGCAGTTCAAATTATGGCTTTTTTAATTAGATGCAATTGTTTTTCATGATTATATTAAAGCTGTGATTTGTTTTGTTTGTTTAAGAGAGAAATTTAGCTGCTTTAGCATTAATCTAGTCTCGAGCCATACACTTCGACCTCACACAGACTTAGGAACTCATTTCTCTTAGGAATGACGATATTAATGTAACGGCCCTCTGTCCCATTGCACTTGAAAACAGCAACAGCACCTCCTGCAATACCTGTGATCACGGCACACCTGGCAGAAGAACCAGAACATGATCTAGTTAATTATGATCAGAACACTTGTTTTGTTCATGGAATTTAACAACTCAACTCTCAGCCTCAGTTTCAAATATAACCTTCATAATGGGCCCTAAAAGTTCACATCAAGTCACTGAGTCAAATCTCAGGCATGTCAGATAAACACACACACAATGAATGTACACTCAGAGTGTTTGCCATAGTTAATGCACACTCAGATCCAACTCTTCCATTTGACTCTGACTTGAATTGTTTCAATTACTTCTGCATACACTATTATAATTTCATTAATTGAAACATTGACCATCACCATGCCTATATGCTGTTAAAATGAAAAGTAGATGATGTTTTTATTATTTTTTCTTGTAAATTCATGACTACAACCTGTCAAAATATCAGTTTTTCTTGTAAATCTGTATTGTGTGAGTTTTTTTCCCCCAGTCTTTAATTTCTCACTTTAATCTCATTGAAAACCTGAATTATGCCGTAGCCTCACTGTTGATTATGTGAGGATAAATGCTAACATCTATACAATAATAAACTCACCATGACAATTATAATCATGACTAGTTATGACTTTCGACCTGATTACCCACTTGCCTCAGCATATTAGTATGCTTCCAATTATAACCTGATAAAAAGTAAAAAGTAAGGGTGGGGAGGTGTCACCATTTCATTCAGTTTGTCCTGTCTGCATCACCAATTATCACTAATTATGAACGAGCAGAAATGCATTTCTTATGTGGAAATTCTGACACTACTTCAGCTTTAAAGAAGAAAGGGATGGACGATGCAAACTCTGTTTGCCAGGAACCAAGCTGCTCTCAACAGGTTAGTTAGTTCATAGACTGCAGGCTGTTAGACTTGATGGATAGCATTAACAACCTGCTAGCTGCAAATAATAAGTCTAACCTCAGTCTAACTTCAGCTAACGCCAGCTAACAATGTTAGCTTGGTGGCGAACAGCCTTCAGTATTAGCAATAAATCACAGAGCAATAGGATATTCATGTAGTTGTAAAAAGCATGACAATATATTAAGTAATCCAAAATATTCAGAATACAATACTCACACTGAGTAACTTGCAGGATAAGTTACGGAATACATCACAAATGACATTTTGGGGCATGTATTCTGTAATCTGTAGTGGAATACATTTTAAAAGTAACCTTCCCAACACTGACTGCTGTGACCAATAAAGGGAGCAGTCGAAAGAAGAAGAGTATAAGCTGTTAAGACATGCCATGATGAAATGTGAAGTACCTGGGATTATTGTTGCCATCGTTTTCAAGAGATTCTCCAATGCGGATTTCAGCTCCATCGAGACGTTCTGGTTGAGAATCTTGATTTACAATACTAACAGAAAACACTTTATGTGTTTTGAGCAAATCAAGCCGCCACCACGGACTCATTGATTTTTTTGTGAGAGTGCAGGAGGCCTCTTCCCATTTGCTGTTACGATTTCCATCTATGGCATTATATGCAATGCCAAATGAATATCTTGACGACTGTGTGGCTTTTCCTTGGAGTGCAAGATTCTCATCTGCAAAAAGGACAAATTTTAAAAAGTATGATGTTTGTCATGTTTGTTAAGTCACTTGAAGCGCTGCAGTACATGTGCAACAATTAAAGATTTTTTCCCCAATTTTGTAGCTTGCATTAATATATATTGATTAAACCTTTATTGCAGCAGCACCGCTTATCAGCCTGAAACTTTGTGGTTTATACCACAGCTTGTAGGTAAGGCTACATGCAGTCCACATTTATTCACAGTGTCATGAAAAAGTATTTGGCCTCTTCCAGATTTCTTAGATTACTTAAATATTCCAGATCAAAAGATAATCCGAGACAATACAAAATGCAATTTTAAAAAAGTTATTTAATTTATTAAAGTGATAACCCTAAACAAACCAAACTGGGGTTACAATAAGGGTTGTAACCCTAATTGGGTTACAAAATAATTTGTAAGGCAACGAGACTCCTTCAAACCCTGGTTCATCATCCACAAACAGAGAAAACCTGGAACAGTGAACCATCAAATTACTCTAGGAGCTCATCGCAGATTCATCCAGGAGGTCACAAAAGATCTAAACAAAACAGCTACAGAACTGCAGGCCTCACTTACTTCAGCTAAGGTCAGTGTTCAACAATAAGAAAGAGACTGGGCAAAAATGGCATCCATGGGAGACTTCAGAGGTGAAAACCACACCTGACTTGCTGTAATTGATGGAGCCATAAATTCTGCTTCCTTCCAGAAAAACCTGAAGAAGAATGCCTGGTCATCAGTTAATGCCATGAAGCTCAAGCACAATTGGGTTATGCTACAGAACAATGATTTGAAACACACCACCACCACCACCACAAGTCCACTTTTTAATAGAAAACAATGGAAGGTTTTTGAGTGGCCTAGTCTAAACTTAAATCAGTTTAAGATGCTTTGCAAAATGACCTTCAACATGCCCCTCATGCTCGAAAACCCTCCAACATGACTGAAAAATTCAGCAAAGAAGAGTAGGCAAAAGTTCGTCATATCCAGTTATCCCAAAATGTTTGATTGCTGTTCATGGTAATCTTTGTCCAGTATCAAAATTTGTTTGCTGATCTGAAACATTTAAGTGTGACCAATACACAAAACACCCCTAAGAAATCAGGAAGGGGGCAAATAGTTTTCCATAGCATTATATGTAGTGGCACAAATTCTCACCGGTTGGAGCAGGGTATCCATAGACTTCAACTTCGCAGAGTGTGAGGATCCTACCTGAACCAGGCAGGGTCAATGTTACATAACGTCCCTCCACCCGATTAGTGAAAGTCAATTTGGATTCACCTGTACGACCTTCAGAAATTGTACCAACCCTTACAGAAAGTGTGAGAAAGAAACACAGAGTTTACCACAGCAGCAGATTTCAGAACATTTTATGGTCAGCGTGATAATAATGCAGCAAGATATTGTAGTACTATATAAATTTAGTTGGGATGCATTTTTACAGTAGTTAAATCATTGCAGGTACTATAATTAAATTGTTTGTTGTAGTATTATGTAGCATGCCAATGGTCCGAGTATGGACAGCTAACAAAGTCAGCCCTGCAGCAACCAATCCTGCTACCAGTGATTACTTTAGAAAGGCAGAAGTAAACACCACAATACTTTTTTATGCTTACAAACATAAAAATGCAAAAATTAAAGAAAAAAGAATCATTGTATAGCTGATGATTTGTTTCTCCTTTCTATTTACACACTTTGGGTTTTCTAAACCTTCATTGTTCAAAGAGTTGCCTATGTGGATCTCCAGCCCACTGAGTCTGTGCTGACAGCAGTCTCCTCTGTTGAAGATGGTGACAGACGTGATTATGTAGGACTGAAGCAGGTCCACTCTCCACCAGGGGTTCGTCTGTTCGTTAGTGTGTGTGCAAGACCCAACCGAAAATTCAGAATTACGATTTCCATCAATCGCGTTGTGGGCAGCTGACACGGGGTTATCAGTTAAACGGGTTGATTGAGTTGCTTTACCACGCAGGGCCACATTTTCTGCAAATCAGAGATGTACAATGAATATAAAATATACAATGCATAATAAAATATCAGTACATAATAAAATACAGTAATATCCAAACAAAGAGAGTTTTTGAAATGGAGAGTATTGCACATTAAAAAATAGCTTTCCATAAGCCACTAAATAAAAGAGGTTGTGAATGCAAGTTGTTGCTTTGATTATGCTTCATAAAGTCACTTCTTCTAGGAGACTGTAATTTATTCTGCAATAAGAAAAGTTCAGTCCAGGAAAGCAGAAAAACAATCTTTCAATTTTCCCTGCAACCCACAGCTCCAAAAATCCAAATTTATATTACAAAATCTAGAGGCATCTAGTGTTACAGCTGCAGGGTTGCCCTACACTGGTTAACTAGCAATTTCCTTTTGTTTAAGTCCAAGTTTATTTATATAGCACTTTTAAAACAACATCTATTGACCAAAGTACTGTACAGTAGTCAAAGCAGAAGACATAAAATAGGATAAAGTTAGAAGGGAATAGAATCACAGAAATATAAGACAATAAAAACAGTAGTAACAGACTACTGATTTAAAGCCAGAGACTAAAAATGGGTCTTCAGATGGGTTTTTAAAGTATCCAGTATTGGGGAGGTCCTGATATGAAAGGCAACGTGTTCCACAATTTAGGAGCAGTCACCGGAAATGTCTGGTCTCCTCTGTGTTTTAATCTGGATCTTGGGACAACTAGTAGCATTTGGTCTGCAGACCTTAAAGATCTTGTGGGAGTATACCAGGTTAGAAGATCAGAGAGATATGTAAGAGCTACTCCATGCAGCGTCTTAAAAACAAGTGTTTAAATCGTAAAAATAGTTCAAAAACTAAATGGTAGCCAATGCAAGTATGGGCGATATGTGATCTCGCTTATACGTTCCAGTTAAGAGCTGTGTTTTGGACGAATTACAGTCGGGCAATTGATAACGAGGTAACACCAGAGTAGAAGTTGAAGTGGATTATCTGCTTCGATCTCATCTTATTCTTAACATCCTCCTCTCATGCAATTCTCTGCATGTCCTCCATCACTGGATCCATGAATCCTCTCTGTAGTTCTCCTCAGTTCCTCTGGCCTGGCAGCTCAATTCAAACTTTCTCTAACATATTTATTAACCCTCTTCTGCCTACATTCACCTGCTTCACCTTTCCTTTCACTCTAGCTGCTATCCGTATTGATTTTAAAATTCTTTTACTCACTTGTAAAATTTTAAATAATATGGCACCTAGCTATTTAACAGAACTTCTCCAGTTGTATAACCCAAAAAAGCATTTTTTTTTTTTTTACTAAATCAGGGGGTGTTTTTATTTTTACGATATCTCACACACTTACGATAAGTGGAAACCGAGCTTATTCCTAGGAGGAGGAGTAGAAGGAAAGCATTCAGTTTCATCATTCTGTTGAATTTAAGAAAGATGGGATTTTTATTAGTAAACAATATTTTATTGCAAATTTAATTTATTACTGATTCCTGTGTCAAAGTATTTAAGCCCCACCTTTAAGGTGAAATAGTTAGGATCAAAGTTATTGTAGGAAAAGAAACTTTGTGAAAGAAAAAAACACAAATGTGCACTGGTGTTTTGTTGGTCAGAAGTGAAATGCAGTGTGGTAGACACTTTAAAGACACTGGGAAAAATGTTAATGTGACCAAAACCACTACAAACTATATGCCTGTACATCACCCATTCACTTAAAGCAGCAAGCACTGATCTCACCATGAAAACATTGGAATTCTCTATAAATTAAAAAAGAGGCTTTCAAGCTTCAATAGGATCTTTCCTTGAACAGGATTACTACTCTTCAAATCTTAAGTTATGAATTAGTTTATGTATATATTTTTACATTAGAGTTGTTTTGTTGTGAGCCTGAATTGAAAAAAAAAAATCATAAATTATACACTGAAACTACTACTAAGTTTAAAGATACAAAAAAAGAGCTTTGAGCAAAAAAAGAAAACAAATTCTATATTCAAACTGAAAATGCAGAAACATAATAAAGATAATCAGTTTCAAGAAAAGAAATGAAATGTGTTACTTGAGTATCCAGACTGAGCAGATGCTTCTTCCTGGAAATTGATGATTCAGTAAAAGAGAAGCGCAACTACTGATGTTGTTTCTGTGTGTGTTTTATATGTATATGCAGCTCCGCCTCTGCTGAACAACAACTAACCAATCATCAGAAACCACATTCATATTCTCCTCAAAACGATCCAGTTACTTCCTACTGGTTTGTGCCCATGCACATTTGTTTCACTTCCTCACTTGTGAATTACATTTTCAAGAATTAGTAAAGCAGTTCTCCACAGCACTGATGTTTTTTCTGGTTATTTGGCAATATCCTCCTACTTATTACTCAAGATGTAATCAGACGTTTACAAAATATAATTTTTCTTCAAAGTTTGGGGCCATTTTGAAATGTGCTTGTATCTGAAAGATAAGTGGAATGATAATTTTACATCAAATTGATCAAAAGCTCTATAAGTAAAAAAAAATCCGATTAATGGAATCGTTCATCATAGATCAATTTGTCATAAAAAAGCCCCAAATTTTTGTAGGCTTTCAGGAACAATTAGGCTTATATTCCAATGGTGCATTTTGAACTTCACGTACTTTTAGCTTTCTAATGACAATTAAATGTGTAACTGTCATTAAGAAACTCTTTCACAAATCTATTAATGCAGCTGATTTTAATGCAGTGTGGTTATTGGTGCCAGTCGGGCAGGTCTTATTTCAGAAATTGCTAATGTACTGGAAGAAAATATCCAGTGAGCAGAAGTTGGATCCAAGGCATTAAAATGGTTTACTGATGCCAGGGATTACACGAAAGTGGCCAGACTGCTTTAGGCTGATAAAAAGGCAACAGTAACTCAAAAATACACTCATTACATTGAAGGTATTCAGAACAGCATCTCTGAATGCAGAACATCTTGAACCTTAAAACAGATGGACTACAGCAGTTTGCACCAACTCATGAAAGTTGGATAATAGAAGACTGGAAATACATTGGCTGCTCTGATGAGTCTCAGATCCTGGTGTGAGATACGAATGGTAGGGTCAGAATTCTCTTGGCTCATTTTGACCCTGTTAGTGCCCACTGAACAGAATTTAAAACAGTCCAACCTATAAAGAAACCATCATGGTCATACGGTGGTTGTTTTCAGTTTTAAACCTGCTATCCTAGTCATCACAGCGTGCAAAGTCTTTGTAATACTGACAAACACAGCAGGCGAATAGTTCAAAAAGGAAATATAATTAGTAAGAATGAACATAATTTATTGATGAACAGACTTTAGATAGGTATGTGGTGGTTAGACTCCAATGGCCCCACCAACTAAACAAGATCAGTCATTTTAGTTTAACCTCTTAAGTCCCAAAGGGGTTATGAGCTTCCTGCTCGAAGATGTAATGCCCAAATTTAATTAATTATTTCTCTGCAATTACAAACTCTGTCCTTACAATCTTGGTATCAAAATAAAACTAACATCTGTGAGATTGCTCTTTTGGCTCTCGGTGAAGGCGGTCGCACTTTTTCTCCTCTCCTCCTTCCCCTTAGCTTCCCTGCTTAGCCTCTTGTGTCCTGTCTTGTCTCGTGTGCATTACTTTCCCTGGAACAGTCTCTCACTTTCGTTCTCTAAAACCTAAAAGAGAATTAT